GAGCAATCCCACTGCTAGGGCTATACCCAGCAGAAAGAAAAGCAGTATATCAAAGAGATATTGGCACTTCCATGTTTATTGCAGCACTATTTACAAGAGACAATATTTGGAAGCTGCCTAAGTGCCCATCAACAGACAAGTGGATAAAGAAAATGTGGCGGGCCGGGCGCGGTGGCTCAAGCCTGTAATCCCAGCACTTTGGGAGGCTGAGGCGGGTGGATCACAAGGTCAAGAGATCGAGACCATCCTGACCAACATGGTGAAACCCCGTCTCTACTAAAAATACAAAAAATTAGCTAGGCATGGTGGCGCGTGCCTGTAGTCCCAGCTACTCAGGAGGCTGAGACAGAATTGCCTGAACCCAGGAGGCGGAGGCTGTGGTGAGCTGAGATCGCGCCATTGCACTCCAGCCTGGGTAACAAGAGCGAAACTCGGTCTCAAAAAAAAAAAGAAAAAAGAAAAGAAAGAGAAAGAGAAAGAGAAAGAAAGAAAGAAAGAAAGAAAGAAAGAAAGAAAGAAAGAAAGAAAGAAAGAAAGAAAGGAAGAAAGAAAGAAAAGAAAGAAGAAAGAAAGAAAGAAAGAAAGAAAGAAAGAAAGAAAGAAAGAAAGAAAGAAAGAAAGAAGAAAGAAAGAAAATGTGGCACATACACACGATGGAGTACTATTTGGCCGTAAGAAAGAATGAGATCCTATCATTTGCAACAACATAGATGCAACTGGAGGTCATTACAGTAAATGAAATATGGCAGACATGGAATGGCAAACTTTGTATGTTCTCATTTATTTGTGGGAGTTAAAAATTTAAATAACTCAAGGAGAAAGACAGTAGAATGATGGCTACCAGTGACTTGGAGGGTAGTGGGGATGGAGGCAAACGTGGATAGTTAATGGGCACAAAAATACAGTTAGAATAAAATCTAGCATATAATACAAGGTGATTAAAATTAAAAAAAGAATTGTATGTGATACTGAGTTTAGCATACAAACAGATTTTAGACAGAATCAGCTTATATATCATGAAATATATTAGCCATGGACAACAATATTTCCATGTTAGTCCATTTTCTGTTGCTGATAACAGAATACCTAAAACTCAGTCATTTATAAAGAAACAAAAATGTATTTCTTACAGTTCTGGAAGCTGAAAAGTCCAAGGTTGATGAGACACATATGATGAGGGTCTTCTTGCTGACAGGGACTCTGATGGGGGCGCCTGTTGGCAGAGGGCATCACAGGTCGAGAGGGCTGAGAGTGTTAGCTCAGTTCTCTTTTCTTCTTTTTCTGTAGGGAACAGGGTCTCACTCTTACCCAGGCTGGAGTGGAGTGGTATGATTCTTGACTCACTGCAACCTCTGCCTCCTGGGCTCAAGTGATACTCCCACTTCAGCCTCCCAAGTAGCTGGGACGACAGGCATGCACAACCACATCCTGCTAATTTTTGTATTTTTTGTGCAGACAGGGTTTTGCCATATTGCCCAGGCTAGTCTCAAACTTCTCAGCTCAAGCAATCCCCCCACCACTCCTCAGCCTCCCACAGTGCTGGGATTACAGGCCTGAACCACCATACTTGGCCCTCTCTTCCTTTTTTTTTTTTTGAAATGGAGTCTCGATCTTGTTGTCCAGGCTGGAGTGCAGTGGTGCAACCTTGGCTCATTGCAACCTCCACCTCCCGGGTTCAAGCGATTCTCCTGCCTCAGCCTCCCAAGTAGCCGGTACTACAGGCAGGTGCCACCACGCCCAACTAATTTTGTATTTTTATTAGAGACAGCATTTCACCATGTTGGCCAGGTTGGTCTCCAACTCCTGACCTCAAGTGACCTGTCCACTTCAGCCTCCCAAACTGCTGGGATTATGGATGTGAGGCACCATGCCTGACCAGCCTGTCTTCCTCTTCTAATAAAGCCATCAGTCCCAGTCTGATAGTAACACATTAGTCAATTCATGAGGCCTGACCTTTCAATATTGGCACATTGGGGATTAAGTCTTAACAAGTGCTTTGGAGGAGACAAAACATTCAAATCACAGCTTTTGCTTTCTCCTAACATTGATTCCTGCAGCAAGGCTGTTCTGGTAATGTGAATGCTAGTTGTATGTACAATAAAGTATATGGATACATTTGTTAAAGTTTTATTAATAACAATAAAATGCTGTGGTGGTGTTACATGAGATAAGAGCTGCTTAGTGCAAGTCTGAACACCTTATGGAGCTCCAGTAAAGGTTTGATGCAGGAAAAGATTTTAGACAGAATCTGCTTATGCATTGTGAAATCTGCGTATTTATCCATAGACAACCGTGGCAGCAAACCTGAGGATAATACTCTGGTTTTGAGAGTGTTCTCCAAAAAAGATAATATCCTGATTCAAATCTCTTACAGCTGGGTGTGGTGGCTAGGGCTTGTAATCCCAGCACTTTGGGAGGCCAAGATGGGCGGATCACCTGACGTCAGAGTTCGAGAACAGCCTGACCAATATGGAGAAATCCCGTCTCTACTAAAAATACAAAACAAAAAGTAGACGGCCATGATGGTACATGCCTGTAATCCCAGCTACTTGAGAGGCTGTGGCAGGAGAATTGCTTGAACCCAGGAGGCTGAGGTTGCGGCAAGCCAAGATTGCACCATTGCACTCCAGCCTAGGCCGCAAGAGCAAGACTCAGTCTCAAAAAAAAAAAAAAATCCTCTTACATCATTACTTTTTTTCCTAAATATTTCAGGGGAAATATTTTTAAAGGAGTGAAATGTGTATTTTTTCCACTTGGGATTTATTCTTTTATTTAGTCTAAACACCTTCTTCAACTGTGAGTATAATTATTCTCAGCTATAGGTCCTACCAGGCTCCGTTTGACTTGTTACTCACTGTTCCTTTTCACAAACCTTAGAACTGAAGAAAATTTTAGACCAGGTGTGGTGGCTCACACCTGTAATCCCAGCACTTTAGGAGGCCGGGGTGGGTGGATTGCTTGAGCCCAGGAGTTTGAGACCATCCTGAGCAACATGTTTAAATCACATCTCTACAAAAATTAGCTCAGGGTGGTAGTGTGCACCTGTAGTCCCAGCTATTTGAGAGGCTGATGTGGTAAAATTGCTTGAGTCAAGGCTGTAGTAAGCCATGATTGTGCTACTGTACTCCCGCCTGCGTGACAGAGTGAGACACTGTCTCTCTAAAAAAAAAAAAAATACATATATGTATTTATATATATATATATTGTGTTGGTCAATAAGAAAATAAGATTATTTCATATATATATATATAAAATATATATATATATATATATATATAAAATATATATATATATATATTTAAAGCTTGGCACAATGACTCAGGCCTGTAATTCCATAATTCCAGCCTTTTGGGAGGCTGAGGTGGGAGGATCACTTGAGCTCAGGAGTTTGAGGCAAGCCTGAGCAACACAGTAAGACTTGGTCTCTCTTGAAATTAAAAAAAAAAAAAAGACATATATATTTAAAAACATTGGATTAGGAGAATGAGTGGTAAAAACATTACTTAGAAACAAATATATTGGGCCGGGTGTGATGGCTCATACTTGTAATTCCAGCACTTTGGGATGCCAAGGCAGACGGATTACATGAGGTCAGAAGTTTGAAACCAGTCTGGCCAGCATAGTGAAACCATGTCTCTACTAAAAATACAAAAATTAGTTGGGTGTGGTGGCAGGCGCCTATACCCAGCTACTTGGGAGGCTTGAACTCTAAAGGCGGAGGTTGCAGCGAGCCGAGATCGCACTATTACACTCCAGCCTGGACGACAAGAGTGAGAGACTCTGTCTCAAAAAAAAAGAAGTAACTGTATCACCTTAAGTATTTGTTAAAAGAATGAAAATAGGCCAGGCGTGATGGCTCATGCTTGTAATCCCAGAACTCTGGGAGGCCGAGGGAGATGGATCACCTGAGGTCAGAAGTTTGAGACCAGCTTGGCCAACATGGTGGAACCGGGTCTCTACTAAAAATACACAAATTATCTGGGTGTGGAGGCACACACCTGTAATCTTTGCTACTTGGGAGGCTGAGGCAGAATTGCTTGAACTCGGGAGGTGAAAATTGTGGTGAGCCGTGATTGCTTCACTGTACTCTAGCCTGGGTGACATAGTGAGACTTCTTTGTCTCAAAAAATAAGTATGAAAATAAACTTATCTGGCAGGGGAGATACCATGATCATGAAGGTGGTTTTCCCATTGCGAGACTTATCCATCGTACTCTGGATGTGCTGACCCCTGCGATTTCCCATTAAAAAAAAAAGTATGAAAATAAATGAGCTAGACATCTACTATCACAAGAAATTAGAAAAAGAATAGCAAACTGGTTACAGTGACTAACACCTGTAATCCCAGCAATTTGGGTAGCTGAGGTCAGAGGATCTCTTGAGCCCAGGAGTCTGAGACCAGCCTGGGCAACATAGTGAGACCACATCTCAAAAACAACAAAAAAATTGGTTTCATTTTTTTTGAGATGGAGTTTCACTCTTGTTGCCCAGGCTGGGGTGTAATGGTGCAATCTCAGCTCACCGCAACCTTTGCCTCCTGGATTCAAGTGATTCTTCTCCCTCAGCCTCCCAAGTAGCTGGGATTACAGGCATGTGCCACCATGACCAGCTAATTTTGTATTTTTAATAGAGGCAGGGTTTCTCCATGTTGGTCAGGCTGGTCTCGAACTTTTGACCTCAGGTGATCTGCCTGCCTTGGCCTCCCAAAGTGCTGGAATTACAGGCGTGAGCCACTGCACCTGGCCAAGAAAAAAATGTTTTTGAGATAGGGTCTTGCTATGTTGCCTGGGCTGGATTTGAACTCCCGGCCTCAAACTACCTGCTCAACTTGGCCTCCCAAAGTGCTGGTAATTACAGGTGTGAACAATTACACTTTACCTAAATTCAGTTTTGAAATAGGTGGCTGTCCCTAAAGGAAGGTTTCTTTGGTATATCTTCAAAGGTCTATTGGATAAATGCTAAAATACTCTTTATAAAGAAACACTACTAACAAAAGATTTCAAGTAATAGACATATTTTAATAGTGTAAAATGTAATCTTCTAACTAATGAAAGAAAAACTTCCAAAATATTCATGAAACTAGCCAATACCTTGAACAAAGAAAAACACATAATTAAGTAAATATTACGATTACGTACTCCAAATCCCAAAAAACACAGACGGTCATCACAAGCCAAATCATTCTTAGAGCTGGTTGTTGCAGGTTACTAAAATGCATAAAACAAAATCTTTACTTTTCAGACTAATAGAAAATAAATAAAACAACTCCAATAAGAAAGCTAACTTAAGTTTCAAGGGAAACAGACCATATTGATGACTTTAAAGTTTTTCAAGGAATTTATGGAAACAGAACATCTGTATCTTGATTTTTTTTTTTTTTTTTGAGACGGAGGTTCGCTCTTGTTACCCAGGCTGGAGTGCAATGGTGCGATCTCGGCTCACCGCAACCTCTGCCTCCTGGGTTCAGGCAATTCTCCTGCCTCAGCCTCCTGAGTACCTGCAATTACAGGCACGCGCCACCATGCCCAGCTAATTTTTTTTTATTTTTAGTAGAGACGGGCTTTCACCATGTTGACCAGGATGGTCTCAATCTCTTGACCTCGTGATCCACCCACCTCGGCCTCCCAAAGTGCTGGGATTACAGGCTTGAGCCACCGCGCCCGGCCTGTATCTTGATTTTTATGGCAAATGAGTTTTGGGTTGACTTTTGAAGATTATGTGTGTTTTGATGTATAGCTCAGAAAGAGGGACAATAATATTCATGGGACCCACAGGACATTAAACTGATCCTAAAGCATGAAGCAAAATTCTGAGACAAGTTAGTTTAAGAATGCAAATATATTTTGGTTTAGAATATAAAACAAAAATTATCACAATTAGGATATGACTGAAGTTTGAGTAAAATGTTTTTAGTCTACTTCATACATAATATTGGTCATTTAACAATATGTATAACAAGGGTAGGCATCAGAAAAGAATAGAGCAATAGTAAGTCTATCACGGCTAGAAATTAATAAAACTAGTGATTTGGATGTAATATTGTTTGATGTATCATTATGTAATAAAAGAAAATAGGAAATTTTGCTTTGAAACATTCCTCAGAAAGATGGAAACTGGCTAGGCAGATGAATATCTATATATCTCAATGAATTTCTATATACGTCTCCTTACTACATCACCAACACAAAAACAACATTAATATATTTACATATATATACTAGACAAAAATGAATTCACTTTGCCTAGAAAAACCATACTTATTAAGAAAACACTACGCCGGGCGCGGTGGCTCAATAATTAGATCTCATCATTCTGCAGAGATCTAATCCCAGCACTTTGGGAGGCCAAGGCGGGTGGATCACGAGGTCAAGAGATTGAGACCATCCTGGTCAACATGGTGAAACCCCGTCTCTACTAAAAATACAAAAAATTAGCTGGGCATGGTGGTGCGTGCCTGTAATCCCAGCTACTCAGGAGGCTGAGGCAGGAGAATTGCCTGAACCCAGGAGGCAGAGGTTGCGGTGAGCCGAGATCGCACCATTGCACTCCAGCCTGGGTAACAAGAGCGAAACTCTGTCTCAAAAAAAAAAGAAAACATTAATGGACACCAAAGAATAAAAAGCAAGGCCCTCAAAAAAATGGCAACCATTTCAATAGCTGGAGTGCTATTGCTGTCTCTCTTTGTTTTTTGAGACATGGCCTTGCTCTGTTGCCTACGCTGGTGTGCAGTGGCACGGTCTTGGCTCACGGCAACCTCTTCCTCCTGGGCTCAAGTGATCCTTCTGCATTAAACTCCCAAGTAGCTGTGACCACAGGTGCGAGCCACCATGCCTGACTAATTTTTCTATTTTTTTTGTAGAGGTGGGGTTTCACCATGTTGCCCAGGCTGGTCTCGAACTCCTGGACTCAAGCTATCTGCCTACCTTGGCCTCCCAAACTGCTGGGATTGCAGGTGTGAGCAACCCATTGCACCTGGCCCTGCTTTCTGTTAATACCATTTTAGTAATGGAGAAAAAAGATGAATAGTTTGTAGACAGATACATCTCTACTGAAGAAATAGTGGCTAGGCAGAAGCCAGGCTACTTAAAAATCATAGTTCTATCTTTGGGATTTATGGCTGAGTGCTATTGCTTTCTCTCTTTTTGTTTTAGTGTGGGAAAACAAAAAGAAATTTTGTGAAAAAATGGCTAATGTTTTTGTCCGTGGTAAAACTTCCTCTTATATTTAAAAGTTAATCCTTAGGGCTTGTACTAAAGCAGAAAGCATTAGTTTAGTTAGAAGAAATTTTTCCTCAGTGTCCTATTACTTAAACCTTTGGTACAAAGATGAATAAGTTGATAACAGGCCTTTCATCATTCCAGCCTTCATCACCATCATTTTGCAGAGATCTAAAAGCATACAGATTAACTATAACATCATCAGAAGGAATTTTACTCAGCTTGTAATGACCTAAAGACAAAGGCTACAGAGCAATGGGATCCTGACATAATATCGACGACATTCTGCTGGGCTGTTCTAATGGTGGTCCAAGGGTCTAGTGGTAGAAGTGGCAGTCCTGAAGCAGATCTTGGTAAATTTGCTTGACTACATTCTTCAGGTAGTTGTTCTCCAGGGGCACTTTAGATAGAATGGTAGCAATATCATCTTGGCTGTAAAGAACAAAGTTTCATCAATTTTTGTTTTTAAATCTTACACTTGTCTCCAGTTCAGTGGAATTTATGTTCTTGGTCTCTGTTTCCTAGGAGGTACAAATGATATTTTTGAAAATAGCCAGACTGTTCAGTTTGAAATGGGATTCGAAGAGGGCCTAAGAATCAATTCTATATGTAATTGCGAAGTATCTTAACCTAGCTACTTTTGTTGGTCATAAAAAATCTTAGTCTTGGATTTTTGTTTGTTTGTTCGTTTTGAGATGGAGTTTCACTGTTGTTACCCAGACTGGAGTGCAATGGCATGATCTCGGCTCACCACAACTTCCACCTTCTGGGTTCAAGCAATTCTCCTACCTCAGCCTCCCGAGTAGCTGGGACTACAGGTGTGCACCACCATGCCCAGCTAATTTTTGTATTTTTAGTAGAGACGGGGTTTCACCTCGTTGACCAGGATGGTCTCGATCTCTTGACCTTGTGATCCACCCACCTCGGCCTCCCAAAGTGCTGGGATTATAGGCGTGAGCCACGGCGCCTGGCCGTCTTGGATTTTGCTGACAAATGTAAGGTGAGCACATTTTTCCCCTCAAACAGGGTCTTGCTCTGTTGCCCAGCCTGCAGTGCAGTGGCGTGCTCGGCTCACTGCAACTTCCGTCTCTGAGGTTCAAGCCTCCTGAGACTTCTGTCTCAGCCTCCTGAGTAGTTGGGATTACAGATGCCTGCCACCATGCCTGTTTTTTGTTTTGTTTTGTTTTGTTTTTGAGGCAGAGTAAATCCCAGCCTCCTGAGTAGCTGGGATTACAGGCACGCGCCACCGTGCTCAGCTAATTTTTTGTACTTTTAGTAGAGACGGGGTTTCACCATGTTGACCAGGATGGTCTCTATCTCTTGACCTCATGATCCACCCGCCTCAGCCTCCCAAAGTGCTGGGATTACAGGCGTGAGCCACCACGCCTGGCCTGGATTTTTTTTTTTTAAGACAGAATCTCACTCTGTTGCCCAGGCTGGAGTGCAGTGGTGTGACCCCGGCTCACTGCAACCTCTGACTCCTAGGTTCAAGTGATTCTCCTGCCTCAGCCTCCCTAGTAGCTGGGACTATTGGCTCCCACAACCACACCCAACCAATTTTTGTATTTTTAGTAAAGACAAGATTTCATCATGTTGGCCAGGCTGGTCTTGAACACCTGACCTCAGGTGATCACTCACCTTGGTCTATTTTTTGTATTTTTAATAGATACAGGGTTTTACCATGTTGGCCAGGCTGTTCTCAAACTGCTGACCTCATGATCTACCTGCCTCAGCCTCCCAAAGGGCTGGGATTACAGGCGTGAGCCACTGCACCCGGTCTAGATGAGCACATTTTTAACTCTGCTATCTTCCAATCTGTCAGCAGTGAGTCTAAAAATTCACGAAATACATCACAGCCTAGGAGGAATGAAATATTTTTAGGTCTGGTTCCACAGACTGTTTTGTTTTGAGACAGTAGCATGATCTTGGCTGATGGCAATCTCCACCTCCCAGGCTCAAGCAATCCTCCCACCTCAGCCTCATGATTAGTGGGACTAAAGGTGCTCGCCACCACACCCAGCTAATTTATGTATGTTTAGTAGAGGCAGTGCTTCACTGTATTGGCCAGTCTGGTCTGGAATTCCTAAGATTAAGTGATCTGCCCACCTTGGCCTCCTAAAGTGCTGGGCTTACAGGCATGAACCATCATATCTAACCCTAACTCTGTTTTTAAGGCCATAAAAGTTGTTTACATATTATCTGTACTACTCTTACACTGAATTTTTTCCTTCTTGATTCATATTTTAGGTGGGAGTGTTCAAAAAGTGAAGCAGGTATAAAAGAACAGACCAATGGTCTCCACATCACATGGTGAAACCCCACCTCTACTAAATACACAAAAAATTAGCTGGGCATGGTGGCACGTGCCTGTAATCCCAGCTACTCAGGAGGCTGAGGCAGGAGAATTGCCTGAACCCAGGAGGTGGAGGCTGCGGTGAGCCGAGATTGCGCCATTGCACTCCAGCCTGGGTAACAAGAGTGAAACTCCGTCTTAAAAAAAAAAAAAAAGAACAGACCAATGGTCTCTAGCATCCACTGGAGACAGCAATGAAGGTCACTGACTTTAAGAAAAAATTCCTCAAAATGAAGTCAGAGAACTGATTTTTAGCTCCACTATGATCCACTGATTTGCTGACCACTTTGAGGAATCTTTCAAATAAAATAAACAACATTAAAAAGTAGTCCAGTGTCTCAGCCCTTTACTTACCTAGTGTTCCCAATATGATTCCGAATGGTGAAAGGTAATGGTACAGATGGATAATAGGCTGAGAGAAACAAAGTTATTTCAAACTTTGCAAATGCTGCAGAGCTAGAGAATAAAAGTCTCAATCTGTAAAAGACAAAATCCATAATTAAAAATGCAGTACAATCATAGCATGAAACACAATTTCTTTTTTGTTGAGATGAAGTCTTGCTGTGTCACCCAGGCTGGTGTGCACATAATCTTAGCTCATAGCAACCTCCACCTCCCCAGTTCTAGCGATTCTCCTGATAGCTAGGATTACAGGTGTGCGACATCACGCCCAGCTAATTTTTGCATTGTTAGTAGAGATGGGGTTTCACCTTGTTGGCCACATTGTCTCAAACTCGTGACCTCAAGTGATCCACCTGCCTCACCTCCCAAAGTGCTGGGATTACAGGCATGAGCTACTGAGTCCAGCCAAAAACCAGATTTTGCCATGTTGGCCAAGCTGGTCTCAAACTCCTGGCCTCAAGCGATTAGACCACCTTGCTGGGATTACAGGTATGGGCCACCATGCCTGGCCCATTATTTCTTATCCTTATCTAGTGAGCAAGGGCAAAACATCTGGAACAAGGTATTATAAAGACTGCTTTTTCATTGCTAGTCATGAAATGCATTAATATTTTCATTTAAGGCCAGGCGCAGTGGCTCATGCCTATAATCCCAGAACTTTGGGAGGCTGAGGTTGACAGATAATGAGGTCAGGAGATCGAGACCAGCCTGGTTAAGACACCAGCCTGGCCAATATTGTGTAATGGTGAAACCTTATCTGCACTAAAAATACAAAAATTAGCTGGGCATGGTGGTGGGAGCCTGTAATCCCAGCTACTTGGGAGGCTGAGGCAGAAATGCTTGAACCCGGAAGGTAGAGGTTGCAGTGAGCTGAAGATTAGGCCATTGCACTCCCGCCTGGGTGACGGAGCGAGACTCTGACTCAAAAAATATGTATATATTATTTATTATATGTTATTTTTTATTAAATAAAATGAATATATATATATATATATATATATATATATATATATATTCATTTAATAAACTGTTGACCAAGTACTTACTGTTGGGTTGAACTGTATTCCCCAAAATTCATATGTTGAATTCCAAACCCCTAACATCTCAGAATGTGACATTTGGAAATTGGGACACTACACAAGTAATATGTTAACATGAAGTCCTACTAGAGTAAGGTGGGCCCCTAATCCACTATGACTAGTGTCCTTATAAAGAGGGGAAATGTGGGCCGGGCGCGGTGGTTCACGAGGTCAAGAGATCGAGTCCATCCTGGTCAAAATGGTGAAACCCCATCTCTACTAAAAAAATACAAATAATTAGCTGGGCATGGTGGCGCGTGCCTGTAATCCCAGCTACTCAGGAGGCTGAGGCAGGAGAATTGCCTGAACCCAGGAAGCGGAGGTTACGGTGAGCTGAGATCGCACCATTGCACTCCATCCAGGGTAACAAGAGCAAAACTAAAACAAAAGGGGGGGAAATGTGGGCTGGCTGCACGGTGGCTCACACCTGTAATCTAGCACTTTGGGAGACTGAGGTAGGCGGATCATGTGGTCAGGAGTTTGAGACCAGCCTGGCCAACATGGTATAACCCCGTCTCTACTAAAAATACAAAAATTAGCCAGGCATGGTGGCTGGCGCCTGTAATCCCAGCTACTCTAGAGGCTGAGGCAGGAGAATCACTTGTATCCAGGAGACGGAGGTTGCAGTGAGAGGAGACCGTGCCATTACACTCTACCCAGGGTGACAGAGCAAGGGCAACAGAGAAAGACTCTGTCTCAAAAAAAGAAACAAAAGGCAGGGGGGTGAGGAATGTGAATGCAGACGTGCACAATCAAAGAAACACCATGTGAAGATGAAGGCAGAGATCAAGGTTATGCATTTACAAGCCAAAGATTGCCAGCAAACCACCAGGCATTGGGAACTGGGAGAAGGTATGGAAGATTCCTTCTAACAGCCCTCAGAAAGAACAACACCGCTTACACCTTGATCTTAGACTTCCAGCCTCCAGAACCGTAAGACAATACATTCCTGTTGCTTAAGGTACCCAATTTTTTTTTTTTTTTTTTGAGAAGGAGTTTCGCTCTTGTTACCCAGGCTGGAGCGCAATGGCGCGATCTTGGCTCACCGCAACCTCTGCTTCCTGGGTTCAGGCAATTCTCCTGCCTCAGCCTCCTGCGTAGCTGGGATTATAGGTATGTGTCACCATGCCCGGCTGATATTTTATATTTTTAGTAGAGACGGGGTTTCACCATGTTGACCAGAATGGTCTTGATCTCTTGACCTCATGACCCACCCTCCTCGGCCTCCCAAAGTGCTGGGATTACAGGCGTGAGCCACCGCACCCGGCAAGGTACCCAATTTGTAGTACTCTGTCATGGTAGTCCTTAGGAACTAATACACTTACTCAAAATTATTAACATCTATGTTCATTAGGTTATAATTTGGTCCCCATGTCTTTAAATACTCAATCTCCTCTCCAAGGAGTCTGCAGTGGTTCACTACCGGTGAGAATTCTTGAAGCATCTAGAAAAAATGAAAATAAAAATCCAATGAAATTATGAAAACATTTCAATGCTTAGTGGCTCACTTATAAAGAACTCAAACAAGTTAAACAATTGAATACATTTATCATTTCAGGATTCACTATTATATATGTAAAGTTCAATTCTGCTTTTTTTTTTCGGAAAGATAATACAAATTTTCCTTTAAATACTTCAATCAGACTTTACCTTGGGTACCTGATGCTGTGTTGTACATGTCTTCTTCCAGGATTCCTTTTCTTCAATGTACTGGAAAATAAGCTTATGAACTAAAAGGGAGGAAGGAGGAGCTTTCTCCTCTGGGGAAGGAAAAAAAAGCAAAAGCAGGATATTACTTATGATTCATATATAAGCAAAAAATACCATAACATATAAGCTAGAAATACTCTCAAACTACCAGGTACTTAAGCATTCTCTCCCCCCTCCTTTTTTTTTTTTGAGACAGAGTTTCGCTCTTGTTACCCAGGCTGGAGTGCAATGGCACGATCTCGGCTCACCGCAACCTCCGCCTCCTGGGTTCAGGCAATTATCCTGCCTCAGCCTCCTGAGTAGCTGGGATTACAGGCACGCACCACCATGCCCAGCTAGTTTTTTGTATTTTTAGTAGAGATAGGGTTTCACCATGTTGACCAGAATGGTCTTGATCTCTTGACCTCGTGATCCACCTGCCTTGGCCTCCCAAAGTGCTGGGATTACAGGCGTGAGCCACTACACCTGGTCACTTTTTTTTTCTTTTGGAGTCTCGCTCTGTCACCCAGGCTGGAGTGCAATGGCGAGATGTCGGCTCACTGTAACCTCCACCTCCCACGCTCAACCGATTCTTCCACTCCAGCCTCCCAACTGGCTGAATTACAGGTGTCTGCCACCACACCAGGCTAATTTTTGTATTTTTAGTAAAGATGGGGTTACACCATGTTGTGCAGGCTGGTCTTGAACTCCTGCCTTTAGGTAATCCACCTGCCTCTCAGCCTCCCAAAATGCTGGGATTATTACAGGCACGAGCCATCGTGCCTGGGCATATTCTCTCCACTCTTATTTTCTTTCTTTTTTTTTTGAGACTCGTCTTCCTCTGTTGCCAGGCTAGAATGCAGTGGTACGATTTCAGCTCACTGCAACCTCCCCCTCCCGGGTTCTGCCTCAGGCTTCCGAGTAGCTGGGATTATAGGCACGAGCCTCCATGCCTGGCTAATTTTTTGTATTTTAATAGAGACGGGGTTTCATTATGTTGACCAGGATGATCTCGATCTCCTGATCTTGTGATCTGCCCACCTTGGCCTCCCAAAGTGCTGGGATTACAGGTGTGAGCCACCATGCCTGGTCTCCATTCTTACTTTCAAACATGATTATAACATATATGGTGAAGATAAGCATTTCCACAAAAACTCAAGCCTGTATCACATAGAGAAACAGTACTTGAGTTAAGAGTGTGGGTTTACATGTAACATAGACCTAAGTTTAAATCCTGGCTTTCTTTCATACCTAAGTGACCCTAGACATAACACTTAAGTTTTTTCTGTAGTTTCCTAATTTGTAAAATGGAGAACAGTTCACATGGACTTCAGTGTTAATACACATGCCCAATACAGATTAAGTGCTCATAATTTTTATATTATGAAAACAGCTAATATTAATCATTGCTCAAGACCTAGTAATCTTGTTCTTTAAATCTTTTTTTTTTTTCCTGAGACAGAGTCTTGCTCTGTCACCCAGACTGGAATGCAGTGGCATGATCTCGGCTCACTGCAACCACCACCTCCCAGGTTCAAGCAATTCTCCTGCCTCAGCCCCGAGTAGCTGGAATTACAGGCACCCGCCACTGCCTCCAGCTAATTTTTGTATCCTTAGCAGAGACGGAGTTTTACCAGGTTGGCCAGGCTGGTCTCGAACTCCTGACCTTGTGATCCGCCTGCCTCGGCCTCCCAAAGTGCTGGGATTACAGGTGTGAGCCACCGTGCCTGGCCAAAAAAATCGTTTCTTTTAAAATCTACCCCAAATTTGGAACATTACTCAAAGCAGTTTTATGTTTAATACACATTTCTAAGAAAATATTATTACTGTTGTTTTTGCTTATATTTAATATACTTTGTTAAAGAGTTCTCAAGGAGCAATTTATACCTGTATATCACCAATAAATAAATTTTTATTTATTTATTTATTTATTTAGAGATGGAATCTCATTCTGTGGCCCAGGCTGGAGTGCAGTTGTGGAATCTTGGCTCACTACAACCTTCGCCTCCCGGGTTCAAGGGATTCTCTTGTGTCACCCTCTCAAATAGCTGGGACTATAGGCCTTCACCACCATACCTGGCTACTTTTTGTATTTTTACAGGGTTTCACCATGTTGGCCAGGATGGTCTCCAATTCCTGACCTCAGGTGATCCGCCTGCCTCAGCCTCAAAAAGTGCTGGGATTATAGGTGTGATCCACAGCAGCTGGCCAAATTTATTTTTTAATTAAAAAAAAAAACAAAAAACACCTCGTTTTTATTTTTGTAGAAACAGGGTCTTCCTATGTTACCTAGGCTGGTCTCAAAGTCCTGAGCTCAAATGATCTGCCCACCTTGTCCTCCCAGAGTGCTGCAATTACAGGCGTGAGCCACTGCACATGACCCACTAATTTCTATTTATTTATCTATTTTATTTGTATTTTTATTTATTTTTGAGACAGGGTCTCACTATGTCACCAGGCTGGAGTGCAGTGGCATAATCTTGGCTCACTGCAACCTCCACCTCCTGGGTTCAAGCAATTCTCCTGCCTCATCCTCCAGAGTAGCTGGGGCTACAGGCAGGTGCCACCAGGCCCTGATAACTTTTGTATTTTTAGTAGAGATGGGGTTTCACCATGTTAGCCAGGCTGGTCTTGAACTCCTGACCCCAAGTGATCTGCCCGCCTTGGCCTCCCCAACTGCTGGGATTACAGGCATGAGCCACAGTCCCCGGCCCCAACAAATTTTTAGAGGCTTAAATGTTTTCAACTTACCGTCTAACAGAGATTGAAAATTCACATCAATAATCTTCCTTATATTGTTGTCCAGGAAAGGGAGACCAACTAGAAAGAACCAGAATAATGCTACATGATTGATGTGTTTTTTTTTTAACTACCTAATTTGAAGCCATATAAAACACAGTACTTTAGAATCCTATTCCTTCTGTGTAGCATAGTTTTTTTCACAGGAAGTTGAAGGTTTATCCTTGAATCATTATTCTCTGTATATTGTAAAGGCTCCTCTGAGACTGTTCAACTACATTGATTGGTAGGTCTTTCAAGGAAATTTAATATGTAGTACACAGCTATATTTGTTAAGGCCTCCTCCCTTAACCCCTAACTTCTGTGCAAAGATAAATTTACTTTTTAGGAATTGCATATTTTAAAAAAAAGGCTATAACCTCCCTATACCTACACTCCTTGTATAGATACAGTAAAAATGAGTTATGCTTTTAGCATTGCTATAACATGTTTTAGGTAGGTAAGATAGCTGCTCACTCCTCCAGCCTAGGGTTATCTCTCTCTCTTAAATTGATTCTTTTCTCTTTGTTGAATGCTTTGTTAAATATTTTCTATGTGTTAGGCACCGTGGACACCATGAGAAAAACAGATATACTCAACCTGTGCCCTCAAGAAGCTTACAATTCAGGGAGACATACAGATAACTGCACTCATAAACACAGCAAGAACTATAATCTATAATAAGCACTATTAAGGAAAATCACAGGAAGCAAGAAGAACATGTAATAGAAGGGTGAGAAAGTGATCAGTGAGGCTGGGTGAGGTGGCTCATGCCTGAAATCCCAGCACTTTGGGAAGCTAAGGTGGGTGGATCATGAGGTCAAGAGATGGAGACCATCCCGGCCAACCTGGTGAAACCCCATCTCTACTAAAAATACAAAAATTAGCGCCGGGCACGGTGGCTCACGCCTATAATCCCAGCACTTTGGGAGGCCAAGGTGGGTGGATCACAAGGTCAAGAGATCGAGACCATCCTGGTCAACAAGGTGAAACCCCGTCTCTACTAAAAATACAAAAAATTAGCTGGGCATGGTGGTGCGCGCCTATAGTCCCAGCTACTCGGGAGGTTGAGGCAGGAGAATTGCTTGAACCCAGAAGGTGGGGGTTGCGGTGAACCGAGATCGTGCCATTGCACTCCACTCTGGGTAACAGCAAAACTCCGCCTCAAAAATAAATAAATAAATAATAAAAAAAAAATACAAAAATTAGCTAGGTGTGGTGGTGTGTGCCTGTAGTCCTAGCTACTTGGGAGGCTAAGGCAGGAGAATCACTTGAACTCTGGAGGCAGAGGTTGCAGTGAGCTGAAATTGTGACACAGCATTCCAGCCTGGTGATAGAGCGAGACTCCGTTTCAAAAAAAAAAAAAGTGATCACTGAGAGCTGAGTTATTATAATTATTAGTAGGAGTTGATTAGTGAAGCAGGGGAAAAGAGCTCTCAGGCATAAGAAACAACAGCACGAAGGCGTTGAGATAGGATGAATATGACTGAGCAGGAAAGACCACAATCATTTAAGGAAATAAAAGAAGCCTAATGTGGCCAACATGCAGAGGTAGGAAGGTAGTATGAGATAGGAAAAGGAGAAAAATTCAATCCAGGCAGGGTTTCACAGGCTAGATCAAATACTTTGATCATTAGCCTAAGAGTAGTAGGTGCATAGTCAAATTTTCAATAATCCCTATAGCTTCATAGTTTCAGGGAGGAGAAGGAGAAGATCCATAAAGTCCAGTTGGAATGTTACTGCAGTCATCTAGGTTAGAGATGATTATCGACAGAATAGATGAAAAATAGTGGATGAATATTAGGAAATTAAAACCAGTAGGTTGGGTGCTGTAATCCTAGCACTTTAGGAGGCCAAGGTGGGAGAATCACTTGAGGTCAGGAGTTCAAGATCAGCCTAGCCAACATGGTGAAACCCCATCTCCACAAAAATTAGCCATGCGTGGTGGCGCATGCCTGTAATTCCAGCTACTTGGGAGGCTGAGGCAGGAGAATCCCTTGGACCGGCAGCAGAGGTTGCAGTGAGCAGAGATTTGCACTAGCGCACTCCAACCTAGCTGGCAGAATAAGTGAGACTCTGTCTCAAAAACACAAAACAAAAACAGTATATCTTACTGATGATTTGAATATATACATTGAGGGAGAAAGAGGTATAGAGTGATTCCTCAGTTTTAATTTTGAACCTGGACAGAAAGTAATGCTAATCATTGAGAAAAGAAACTTTCAAGGAGAATCAGTTTTAAAGGCCCAGAGACTGTGACGATCCTAAATTCTAAAACGGCCATGTTTGCCCCTGGTTGGCCATTTGAAGCTGATTGGTTAAAGAGAAAGAACACTTGACAATTAGGAGACTCCAACAAAACAGCCGGGCCTCTGTCCGGTTACCATATGGTGATTTCTCCCATATACAGTGATTTCATTCTTTTAGATGAAAAACCCACCTATACACACAACTTCCAAATAACTTGTTATTTGGCTTCACTCTTAAGTTAAAAGAAAAAAAAAAGAAGAAACATGGCCGGGCCTGGTGGCTCATGCCTATAATCCCAGCACTTTGGGAGGCCGAGGTGGGTGGATCACGAGGTCAAGAGATCAAGACCATCCTGGTCAACAAGATGAAACCCCGTCTCTACTAAAAATACAAAAATTAGCTAGGTGTAGTGGTGTGCACCTGTAGTCCCAGCTACTCGGGAGGCTGAGGCAAGAGAATTGCATGAACCCAGGAGGCAGAGGTTGTGGTGAGCCAAGATTGCACCATTGCACTCCAGCCTGGGTAACAAGAGCGAAACTCTGTCTCAAAAAAAAAGAAGAAACACTAGCCATAGCCACTAAAGTAAATTCTCCTATTCTCTATAACGAAAGATGGAGATTAAAAGAAAGAAGCTCACAGTAAATGGAAATGAGTAGCATGTTTATCCATTATTTGGATAGCAAAATTTTTATCATTTAATGTAATTCAACAAAGGGCAACTTTCACTAACTGCATTTTTCTTTTCTTTACAAAATAAAATTCTATCACTAAAGATGACTCTTCTAAGACTTTCAGCAGTGCTCTCATCAAGTCAATAGTTATCAGTATAGCTAAATAAAGATTTGAATCTTTAGTTAGTACAGCCATTCATTTTTCTGTAGAGAATTATCTCACTTTGGCTCCTTACCAATTGACTCTCCAAAGGTAATGGTGAGTTCTATCGAATCATAAACAAAGGTTAATAAAGCTTGATCATCACTCCACTCAACAACATCCCACTCAGACAAGCTGAAGAGAGAGAAACAGGATTTTTAAAAAGCATTTTTGGAATCAAGATAAAACCAAACTTCTGATACCACCCAAACAGTACCAATAGCAGCTGCTAATGTTTTTCCACTGGATTGGGAGACAATCAATATTTCAATTCAAATATTGAATGTCCAAACTTAAGCTTTTGAAAGAAGAAAGAACCCAATTTTGAGTTGTATATTGGAGAAACACCAAGTCTAGGCAATGAACGATGTAAACTACTGAAAAATTATAAGTCCATAGTTCTTCGACTCCATTTTCAGCTTACTGCTGAGTACACTGACTCTTTTTGAGACTGCACTGTATAGGTTAAAAACAGCAACACACTAATACATCAGCTGCTCCAGTAGTTTCACACAACCACAAGGTACAGATTAAAACACAAACAATGACACTTGCATTTCCTTACCTCAACTGATCCAGTAGCTCTTCAGTTCTATTTGTTTGTTTTTGCATAAAGTCTATTTGAGCAAGGGTCTGCTCTTTTTGTACCTCCAGTTCTAAGAGATTTCTGCCAAAAAAAGCAGGTATTCACAGAGAGATAAGTCTTTTCTTAGAGAATTTAAACTCTATCAATATAAAAGGTTTATGATAAGAAGTCACATGCTACATGACTCCCCATTGAGGCAATAATGTTAGGTGTATGGCATCCATTTCTGCATTCTTTGTTTAGGTTTTTTTTTTTTTTTAATAAGTATTAATCTAGAAGTGTGTCTACCTGGGAAAGGCATAAATCATTGTGTTTCAAATTAGGATCCATGAAGATATCCTTGGGATTCACATGTTAAGATAATTATTAAACATTACATTTTTATTTTTGATAAAAAGCAAAAACATAAAAATTTAAGCATAATGTAGATCATAAGATCTACCTTAAAACTGAGACATGTCACAGTTAATTTAATTTCAGCCAAACACTATCCCCTGTCAAATCAATGTTGTCAACTAGCATTTTAGAGATTTAGTCATTATTTCTATTTACTTGATTTTAGACTGACAGCTGAATAAGAGTCATAGGCCTAAGAAAGATATACTTCATTTTACGCTTCTTTATTTTTATATGTATTAAACAAAAAGGATACTGGTAGTTTTCAAATTTTAGAAACACTGTTTTGGATAAATGCCCTGCAAACAATAAGTGCTTCAAAACTATTGTTGACTAAGATGGACTCTACGGTTCCATTCAAAGTGGAGAAGCACTGAGTCAGCCTAAGTCAAGACTCATGTCCCCAGTCCCATCAGTCTCTAGAAGCAGGAAGTCATCTAGCCTTCTGTAGTTTGGCATTATATTTTCTGACAGTTGGATTGAAGGCTGACCTTTGAAACTCCTCCTCCTCAGTTTTCAGCTGTTCCAGTTCTTTGGAAAAAGATAAAAAAACCAGAACAAACACATTAGAATGTTGCCAAAAAATTAATCTGTTTTACTAAAAAGTCTATCTGACTTAATCTCATTTAAGTATATAAACAAACTCAGAACGGTTTCCCCCACACCCATTTATCTCCTTAACTACTTCATTTACCTTTCTCTGCAGTTCTCATTTCAGAATCCCATTCTTCCACAAGACTGTCTTTCTCTTCATCCTCCAAATTCTTAGTTTCTAAAGTAGACAACACGTGTTATAATAATTCAGTAAAAAAGAAAACAAAATAAGAAAAAATAGAACTATTCAGTCAAAAACTTTCTCTTCATCCTCCGAATTCTTAGTTTCTAAAGTAGATAACATGTGTTAGAATAATTCAATAAAAAATAAGTAAAACAGAAAACAAAATAAGGAAAAAAAGAATAATTCTGTCAAAAACAATTTACTAAACAACAAGAGGTTGTTTCTTTAGTAGCAGGAAGTTTAGAGGTTCCAGTCTGATGGCTTCTGTTTTTTTTTTTTTTTCTGTGAAAGAAAAAGAAAGGTAGTCAACAAAGGGGTGAAGTTTAGACCATGGAATTCATGTACTCATTGTCAATTCAGTGCCAAAAACATGTACTAGGCACTTATTCTGTATGAAACTAGGGACTCTGAAGGATATGCAGAAAAAGAAGAGCTAATTCTTGACTACACAGAGATCATAATTTAATCAGGTAGAAAAACCATCCAAATAACTATAATACAAGTAGATGATGTGATGGGTGATATAAAAAGGACTAACAAGGCCAGGCATGGTGGCTCAAGCCTGTAATCCCAGCACTTTGAGAGGCCGAGGCGGGCGGATCACGAGGTCAAGAGATCAAGACCATCCTGGCCAACATGGTGAAACCCCGTCTCAACTAAAAATACAGAAATTAGCTGGGCGTGGTGGCGTGCGCCTGTAGTCCCAGCTACTCGGGAGGCTGAGGCAGGAGAATTGCTTGAACCCGGGAGGCGGAGGTTACAGTGAGCCGAGATTGTGCCACTGCACTCCAGCCTGGCACCTGGTGACAGAGTGAGACTCTGTCTCAAAAAAAAAGTACTAACAAATCCAGATGAATGGCCATCTAAAAAAAAAGAAAACTACTAACAAAATAGCCATGGGAGCTCAAGGAATATAGACTATTTCTTTTGGTGAAAAACAGAAGAGAATGTAGTAGCAAAGACAAAAGTGATAGAAATGGTCAGGCCAGTGGTGTGTGCCTGTTGTCTCAACTACTGAGGAGGGAGGATTCCTTGATTCCAGGAGTTTGAAGCTGCAGTGAGCTATGATCATGCCATTACACTGCAGCCTAGGCAACAGGGTGAGACTCTCTCTCTTTAAAAAAAAAAAGGTGGGCATAGTGGCTCATGTCTGTAATCCTAGCACTTTGGGAGGCTGAGGTGGGCAATCATTTGAGGCCAGGAGTTTGAGACCAGCCTGGCCTATATGGTGAAACCCCATCTCTACTAAAACTACAAAAATTAGCTGGGGGTGGTGATGCATGCCTATAATCTCAGCTACTCGGGAGGCTGAGGCACAAGAATCACTTGAACCCAGGAGGCAGAGGTTGCAGTGAGTAGAGATCATACCACTGGCCTGGGCGACAGAGAATCTATCTCAAAAAAGTGGCAGAACTGCATAAAAACAGCAATGTTTGATTGGAATTTAGAATGTGTACGGGAGCAGTAACAAACCACATAAATCTGAATACAACTATAGAAAACATGAAATGTCCAGCTCAGAAGTTTGGACTTTTTCTTTTTTTTTTTTTTTTTTTTTGGGAGGGAGTCTTACTCTGTCACCCGGGTCGGAGTGCGGTGGTGCGATCTCATCTCACTGCAACCTCTGCCTCCTGAGTTCAGGCGATTCCTCTGCCTCAGTCTCCTGAGTAGCTGCGATTACAGGCTCACACCACCACACCTAGCTACTTTTTCTTTTTTTAACAGAGACGGGGTTTCACCATGTTGGTCAGGCTGGTCTCGAACTCCTGGGATTACAGGCTTGATCCACTGCACCTGGCCTTCTTTTTTCTTGAAGCCAACCACAGAGAGTTAAGTTTGGATTTTATTTTGTAATAAATGGAAGGACAGAAGTTTTTCAGAGGCGTAACATTAATGAAAACTGTCTTTCATTATTATTAATTTGGCAGCAACGCGCAGGTTGGACTAGAAGGAGGCAGAATAATGGTAAAAATGTATAAAGATGAGTTAGAAGACTGAAATAGCACATTTCAGAATTAATGAGAGCCTTAATGCGAAAGGGAAAAAAACACGAGATGCCGAAGCTGCTGAGGTGACAGACTTGTTAAGAGAGCATCAAAGACAATGAAAGTATTGAGCCTTTTATAATGTGTAAGAATTGTGACTGCTATAAATAAAGATGATAAACATCATAAGAGAGAACAAGTTTTTGGATTTATTTTGGAGCTGGGAGAAGATAATGTATTTAAATTTATTGATTGATTGATTGATTGATTGAGACGGAGTTTCGCTCTTGTTACCCAGGCTGGAATGCAATGGCGCGATCTTGGCTCACCGCAACCTCCGCCTCCTGGGTTCAGGCAATTCTCCTGCCTCAGCCTCCTGAGCAGCTGGGATTACAGGCATGCACCACCGTGCCCAGCTAATTTTTTGTATTTTTAGTAGAGACAGGGTTTCACCATGTTGACCAGGATGGTCTCGATCTCTTGACCTCGTGATCCACCCGCCTTGGCCTCCCAAAGTGCTAGGATTACAGGCTTGAGCCACCGCGCCCGGCCTAAATGTATTTATTTATTTAGTTCACTCTGTCACACAGGCTGGAGTGCAGTGGTATGATCTTGGCTCACTGTAGCCTTGACCTCCTGGGCTCAAGAGATCTTCCTACCTCAGCCTCCCAAGTAGCTAGGATTACAGGCATGTGCCACCATGCTGAGCTAACTTTTTTTTTGTAGAAATAGAGTCTCATTATGTTGCCAGGCTAATACATTTCATTTTATTCACAGAGTTTAAGGTGCTTAAGGATACTTCTGTTTAGAGGTTCAGAAGGAAGCTAGAAATTAGGCCTGGAACTCGAGTGAGAGGCTAAAGATGTCCTCACTTGAAATGATTACACGCTACTTTAGGGCAAAATTTGTGTCTTAAATATTTTTATTTCTTTTCTGATACTAAGTACAGTATCTGGCAAGCAGTAGATGCTCAACAAATGCTTGGAGATTTAACTAAATTTGGGAATAAGTCACATAATTATTAAGGCAGATGAAAGCACTGGGAGAGATAATATAGAAAATAATAGATGATAATAAATCCCCACAAAGGGTGGGTTAGAGAAAGAGAGGCTGTCAGGCACAGTGGCTCATGCCTGTAATCCCAGCACTTTGAGAGGCTGAGGCAGGCAGATCACCTGAGGTCAGGAGCTTAAGACTGGCCTGGCCAACATGGTGATACCCCATCTCTACAAAAATAGAAAAAGTAGCCAGGCTCAATGGCAGGTGCCTATAACCCCAGCTACTCAAGAGGCTGAGGTCGGAGAATCGCTTAATCCTGGGAGGTGGAGGATGCAGTGAGCTGGAGATTATGCCACTGCACTCCAGACTGGGCGACTGAACGAGACTCCATCTTAAAAAAAAAAAAAGACCAACAAAGAAGTTGGATGCAGCAGCCAAGAGAAAACAACGGAGTCAAGGTAGTACACTATCACACAGGTTAAGGGGATGAACAATTCGGGCAAAAAAGAACATTCATCAATCTGAAAGAGGTCAAAATGGCTAAGGACTGGGAAGAACAAAATTTGATGACTATGCAGAATTATGTGATTTTTGAGAAAGGAGTTTCAGAGTAACACTAACAACTTGAGCTTCTGAAAAGCCAAACTGAAAGGATAGACAGTTTTCAAACTGAGATAAATTCATCTGTTAAAAAACACAAAACTGGCTGGGCATGGTGGCTCACGCCTGTAATCCCTGCACTTTGGGAGGTTGAGGTGGGCGGATCATGAGGTCAGGAAATCGAGACCATCCTGGCCAACATGGTGAAACCCTAGCAGTATTAAAAATACAAAAATTAGCCAGGCATGGTGGCGGACGCCTGTAGTCCCAGCTACTTGGGAGGCTGAGGCAGGAAAATCGCTTGAACCCAAGAGGTGGAGGTTGCAGTGAGGGGACATCACACCATTGTACTCCTGCCTGGTGACAGAGTGAGACTCTGTCTCAGAAAACAAAACAAAACAAAAACACACAAAACTAGTCTAGGTTATCTTGAGCAGCTCTTGTTGACTGTATTACAGATGACTATAGTAAAGCAACTTTAATTTGAATTCATTCATTCATTCATTCATTTAGATGGAGTCTTGCTCTGTTGCCCAGGCTGAAGTGCAGTGGTGCAATTTCGGCTCACTGCAACCTCCAGCTCACTGCAACCTCCGCATCCCGGCTTCAAGCAATTCTCCAGGTTCGAGCAATTCTCCTGCTTCAGCCTCCCAAGTGGCTGGGATTATAGGCATGTACCACCACCCAGAGTTAATTTTGTATTTTTAGTAGAGATGGGGTTTCACCATGTTGGCCAGGCTGGTCTCGTACTTCTGACATCAGGTGATCTGCCTGCTTTGGCCTCCCAAAGTGCTGGGATTACAGGCATAAGCTACCACACCCAGCCAAGTTGCTCTAATTTAATATCTCAAGCTGCTAATACAAGTCTTCAATACAGTGACTCCAACACTCTACTGCAGAAAAGCATTTATATAAAATTAAATTTTCTTTTGGAAAAGAATTTAAAATACTTTACCTATTTCCACCTCAGTGAGACAGTTATCGATCTTCTTAAGTATTTTATCCATCTCATCTATCTTTGTCTGAAGTTTTTCCCTCTCATTCTAAATACAAAAGATTATAGACTGTCAAGTTAAACCTCCAAAGCATTACAAATGGTTCAAATTGCTCACATAATTGCTCTATCAGTATCATGAACTGGCAAATCTTAAAATGAAAGTCAAAGCTTTAAGCTGGAACTTAAAAAAACAAACGTAAATTTTATTAAAATAAGTTTCAGCCAAAAGAACTCTGGAAAATAAGTTTATTTTATAAATTTAATAAAATATTCCATTAAAAAATAAAATATAAAAAGTATATTGACATAAAACTAATTTTGGTACTTTATTTTAGCATTTTTATATGTGTTCCATGGAATATATTAATATTTATTACTTAAAAATATTTCTACGATGAACTGAACATGGGAAACACTGGTCAAAGAACTTAGCATTTATGTTTAGACTTAAAAAATTTGTATGTCTCTGAAAGGGCATATTGCTTGCAACATTTACAAACTTATCTGTCAATGGGAAGTTTTGTTTTGTTTTGTTTTGTTTTTTGAGACAGAGTCTCACTAGTCTCACTCTGTTGCCCAGGCTGGAATGCAGTGGTGCAATCTCAGCTCACTGCAACCTCCGCCTCTCAGGTTCAAGCGATTCTCCTGCCTCGGCCTCCCGAGTAGCTGGGATTACAGGTGCACACCACCATGCCTGGCTAATTTTTGTATTTTTAGTAGAGATGGGATTTTGCCATGTTGGTCAGGCTGGTCTCAAACTCCTGACCTTGTGATCCACCCGCCTTGGCCTCCCAAAGTGCTGGGATTACAGGTGTGAGCCACCACACCTGGTGGAAAGTTTTTTTATCCAGAGCTTTTAAAAAAAGCTAATTATTTTTGGAAATGCTACTTTAAACACATGTACATACATAAAGAGCTTGGTATGGACTATGAAGAAGATAATACTATGGTACAGTCCTTAGCAATGGGAGACCAGAATCCTATATATTTTATTTCAGTATGTATGATGGATAATAGTATTTAAGATGAAACATAGATCCACATTGGTAATTATATTCCAGTATTCCTCAAGATGCCAGGATTGGCCACTTTTGACAATTGAACCGTACCTCTTAAGTTTCTGCCCAAGTCTTATTCACATGTCTTCTAAGGAAGATTCTTCATATTCTATAACCACTATGAAGTATTTTTAGTATCTCTTTCTTTGTATGATGTTAACTGTCTCAAATTACCTGAGCTGACTGCACCAGCTTGCCATACAGAGCCACTTTTCCTTGGTGAGTGAAGACTTTAGTCATCTTGGTAAAACGCGATTTTATCTTGTTAAGGTAAATTCCAAAGGCCTGTAGCTGAAAGGGAAAATTACATAGTACATTGTACTAAAACAAATGAGTCAGAAGAGGTAAATGGTCTAGGAAGGCTACACCTTGCCTATCCTAAGGCAGGATATTTGTCATTTGCAAATTTAATTCTGTATAATTGTCTAAGACCAGAAAAAAAGATTTAGTTTTGATTCCTGCCTTTAATTGATTTATTCATATTATTAATTAGAAAATGACAGGCTCTTAAAGAAACTTTTTAATATATTAGGGCACATATAAAATGGGCCGATTACTATTTAATCAATTAAAGCAAATCTTTTCTTCGTCTAAATCTAAGTGAAAGGCAAATAGGAAGGAGGGAACTCTAAATAAACTTAAACTATATATTGAAGTTTAAATTGATAAATTAAATTGATTAATTGAACACCGCAGGTTTGTAAATATTACACATTAACAATTGCATATAATTAAATAAGACCTTGGTACCACATTACACCTAAAAAATAAGTTAAATAACTCATGACTAATGACCAAGTAATAGTTACTTATTTCAAAATAGACACTGTTCAGAATGTCTTTACTGATTCCCATTCAGAAAATAAGACAGAAGTACCTCTTCGTCAGAGCAGTGTCTCATTTTTTCCCACAGGTTCTTATTTATATCAGCCAACAGTTTATCTTGGTTTGATGCAGAAAGCTTTAACCTAAAATACAAAAAAGTTAATTAGCACAGGATTCAAACCCAGCTTTAATGAACCAGCTCTGATCTACAGTCATGCTTAGCTTAACTCTTCCTAGTTTTTTCCTACATAAAAAGAGGGGAATTTGGCCAGGCTTGGTGGCTCATGCTTGTAATCATAGCACTTCGGGAGGCTGAGGCAGGTGGATTAGAGGTCGGGAGTTCAACTCCAGCCTGACCTATGTGGAGAAACTCATCTCTACTAAGAACACAAAAATTAGCCGGGCAAGAACGATCCAAGATGGCTGATGGCTAACATCTCGGGATTGCAGCTCCCAGTGAAAGCGCAGAGAATGAGAGGACGCCACACGTTCAGACAAATTTTGGTCGCTCACGGAGCAGAAGATTCCCAGTGGAGGAGCTGCACGGGTCGCCAGTGCGACTCTTGTGGCCGGCACAGTGGTTTTGCCGGCACCCCGGCGCGGCAGCTCTTGGTGCAGAGTAAACAGGACTGGTTCCCCTTCTGACCGAGGTTTGGAGGAGCTGCACGGGTCGCCAGCGTGACTCTTGCGGCCGGCACAGCGGTTTTGCTGGCACCTCGGCGCGGCAGCTCTTGGTGCAGAGTAAATGGGACTGGTTCCCCTTCTGACCGACGTTTGGAACTCCAGGAAGACAGAGTCGCCTATTACAGACCCAAGAAGGAAACCAGACTGGAGATTCCCGGGCAGAAAAGCACCATCAGTCTGAACACCGCTGTTTTGCCTGGAGCAGTGGGTTGCTCATATTTCGGCCCTGGGAATTAACAACTTGGTCCACTCAGAGACCTAATTTGAAAGTTGGTAACTACAAAGACGACAGGTGGATAAATTTACAACGATGGGAAGAAACCAGCGTAAAAAGGCTGAGAATACTCAAAGTCAGAATGCCTCTCCCTCTAAAGAGGAACACAGTTCCTCATTAACAAGGGAACAAGGCTTGATGGAGAACCAGCGCATTCCATTAACAGAATCAGGCTTCAGAAAATGGATAATAAAAAACTTCTGTGAGTTAAAAGAACATGTTGTAGCCCAACGTAAAGAACTAAGAACTTTGAAAAAAGGTTTGACGAAATCCTAATGAGAATAGACAACTTAGAGAGGAGTATGAGTGGATTAATGGAACTGAAGAATACAATACAGGAACTCCGAGAAGTATGCACAGGTTTAAACACTCGAATTGTTCAAGCAGAAGAAAGGATATCAGAGGTCAAAGTCCAACTTAATGAAATAAAATGAGAAGACAAGATTAGAGGAAAAAGGATAAAAAGGAAGGAGCAAAGTCTCCAAGAAATGTGGGACTATGTGAAAAGATCAAATTTACGTTTGATAGGTGTACCTGAATGTGACAGAGAGAATGAATCCAAGCTGGAAAATATTCTTCAGGATATTATTCAGGAAAATTTTCCTAAACTAGCAAAGCAGGTCAATATTCAACCTCAGGTAATACAGAGAACACCACAAAGATATTCCTTAAGAAGAGCAACCCCAAGGCACATAATCGTTAGATTCACTAGGGTTGAAACGAAGGAGAAAATACTAAGGGCAGCCAGAGAGATAGGTCAAGTTATCCACAAAGGGAAGCCTATCAGACTTACAGCAGATCTCTCAGCAGAAACTCTATAAGCCAGAAGAGAGTGGGGGCCAATATTCAACATCCTTAAAGAACAGAATTTTCAGCCCAGAATTTCATATCCAACCACACTAAGCTTCACAATTGAAGGAAAAATAGAATCTTTTATGAACAAGCAAGTACTCAGAGATTTTATTACCACCAGGCCTGCTTTACAACAGCTTCTGAAAGAAGCATTACACACAGAAAGAAACAACCAGTATTAGCCTTTCTAAAAATATACCAAAAAGTAAAGAGCATCAACATAAAGAATTTACATCAACGAATGGATAAAACAGCCAGTTAACATCAAATGGCAGTAACCCTAAATTTAAATCGACTAAATCCCCCAATCAAAAGACACAGCCAAAACCCAAGGGTATGCTACATCCAGACCCACTTCACATGCAAGGATACACAAAGACTCAAAATAAAGGGATGGAGAAAGATTTACCAACCAAATGGAGAGCAAAAATAAACAAATAAATAAAAAGCAGGAGTTGCAATTCTTGTATCTGATACAATAGATTTTAAAGCAACAAAGATATAGTGGTAAAAGGATCAATGCAACAACAAGAGCTAACGATCCTAACACCCAGATACATGGAGACTTAGACTCAATGAGACAGAAAATTAATAAGGATATCAAGGACTCGAACTCAGATCTGGAACAAGTAAACTTAATACATATTTATAGAGCTCTCCACTTTAAATACACAAAATATACATTCTTGTCAATACCACATCAAACCTACTCATAGGTTTAAATGAAATATTAATTGGCCATTAATACCCATTTTTTTTTAGAGTAAAGCAACATTTCTGTTCTCTCTCCCTCTTCTTCTTCCTCTCCTTCACTCCTTTTTTTTTCATTCCTTCTCTCAAAAAAAGAAAAAAAGAAATCAACTTGTTGACGTCTAGATCCAGGTCGGCAATGTCTCTCTCAATGCCTGATTTCCTTCTTTCCCTTCTCTCCCTCCCTCTCTCCCTCCCTTCTTTTCTCCCTCCCTCCCTTCCTAAAAAAAAAAAAAAAAAAAATTAGCCGGGCATGGTGGAGCATGCCTGTAATCCCAGCTACTTAGGAGGCTGAGGCAGGAGAATTGCTTAAACACAGGAGGCAGAGGTTGCAGTGAGCCAAGATTGCGCCATTGCACTCCAGCCTGGCCAACTAGAGTGAAACTCGGTCTCAAAAAGGAAAAAAAAGAGGGGAATTCGCTCTATAAATGCCTGATTATTCAATCTGATTATTCACTTGAAGAAGAGCAGTTTAAGAATGTCATAAATCAAAAAACCTTCTATCACTAACAGAATTCTCATCTCAACATACCAACTTGTTCCAATGTGAAACATTTTGCTTATAAAGAATCCTTAAGGTCTATCAATTATCTATGCTATGAAGTTGTAGCTATTATCTTAATAAAAGTTCCCACTTTAGTTAAAAGTCTTAGTTCACATTTTTAGAATAGCATTTATAAAAGCAGCAAAGCTATTATAATCTTGGTCTTTTGTTAATAAATGGAGAAAATACATTTATAACAGAGACAGATCTCTTGTAGAGTATATAGGCAGGCACGTAGATGCAAAATCAAACAGTAAAGCACACCTAAACATACTGTTCATTGAGTGTAAGATCCCATTTCATTCAAAATAAACATTCTTGGCCAGGCACAGTGGCTCATGCCTGTAATCCCAACACTTAGGGAAGACAAGGCAGGTTGATCACTTGAGGTCAGAAGTTCAAGACCATCCTGGCCAATGAGGTAAAACCCCATCTCTGCTAAAAATAAAAAATTAGCCCAGCGTGTTGGTGGGAGCCTGTAATCACAGCTACTCAAGAGGCTGAAAGAGGAGAATCACTTGAACCCAGGATTTGAAGGCTGCAGTGAGTTGAGAGGACGCTGCTGCACTCCAGCCCAGGCAAGAGTACAAGACTGTGTCTCAATTAAAAGAAACAAAATTCTCAGGGAAATCCTGACACAGCCAACTCTTTTAAACAACACGAAGATACAAAATTCGTCAGCCTTGTTCAGTGACGAACCCCAGTGCATAGTATAATGCCTGGCAGATGTAGGTGCTCAAATAAATATCTGTTAAATGAATAGAATCAGGCAAATCTGAAATATCTTAAATTTCTGATTTTAAAACTGCATAATTATTTTTAAAATTTTAGCCGAGCGCGGTGGCTCAAGCCTGTAATCCCACCACTTTGGGAGGCCGAGACGGGTGGATCACGAGGTTGAGAGATCAAGACCATCCTGGTCAACATGGTGAAACCCCATCTCTACTAAAAATACAAAAAATTAGCTGGGCATGGTAGTGCGTGCCTGTAATCCCAGCTACTCAGGAGGCTGAGGCAGGAGAACTACCTGAACCCAGGAGGCGGAGGTTGCGGTGAGCCGAGATTGCGCCATTGCACTCCAGCCTGGGTAACAAGGGCGAAACTCCGTCTTGAAAAAATAATAATAAAATAAAATTTTAAATATGATTTTTCTTCTACTTCCAAAACCCAGATAATTCTTAAAGATTATTTTATTTCTTTTCTGTTTGTTAGACTGGTTCAAATTTAATTGGATAGTCCCAGATAAGTATGACATAAACATTATTTTGAGTTTTAAAGTCTGATTTGCTGAAGGGAATCTAGATATATCTAATTTGTAAATCAGTCTGCAGTATTTACAGATACCATAACAATGAGCTATCTTCTAAGTAAAACCATGTTCTTTTATACACGTAAACAAGGGTAAATATGGTAAAATTATAAAGTCAAAGGCAATCTGATTTCAGGCACTGCATACAGGTTAAGTATCCCTTGCCTGAAATGCCTGGGACCAGAAGTGTTTTGGATTTTGGAATATTTAAATATACAAGATATCTTGCAGGTGAAACCCAAGCCTAAACATGAGATTCATTTATGTTCCATATATACCTTGTACACATAGTTTGTAGGTAAATTTATACAATTTTTTTTTTTTTAAGAGACAGCGTATTGCTATGTTGCCCAGGCTGGAGTGCAGTGACTATTCACAGGCACAATCCCACTACTGATCAGCGCAGGAGTTTTGACCTACTCTGTTTCCAATCTGGGCTGGTTCACCCCTCCTTAGGCAACCTGGGGGTCCCCCGCTCCCAGGAGGTCACCATATTGATGCCGAACTTAGTGCAGATACCCACTTGGCATAGCGCACTACAGCCCAGAACTCCTGGGCTCAAGCCATCCTCCCACCTTGGCCTCCCAAGTAGCTGGGACTACAGGCATGTGTCACCGCACCTGGCAATTTATACAATATTTTAAACGATTTTGTGCATGAAGCAAAGTTTGTGTAAAGCATTTATATTTATGTGTGGCATTTTCTACCTACATCATATTGGTGGCTAAAACATTTTGGATTTTGGAGCATTTCAAATTTTCAATTTCCAGATTCGAGATACTCAACTTACATAAATCTCTAAAAGATATTTTCTTTCAAAGAAGTTCTCTAGCAATCAACTTATAATATTGTAATCTAATAATTATTGTTTATTCTTATTAAGGACCTACCTTTTCCTAAGAATGGTATGAAAACAATTTATGTATGCCATTTCTATTGTTCTTATCTTTTGGCTGAGTAGCTTTTATTATCTCCACTTTATGGATTTAGACATGAAGGTTAAATGATTTACCCGAGGGAATACAGCTAGTGTCGAAGCCAAGACTGAGCTTCGGTCTGACTACAAGACCCAAACTCTTGCCCCCACATCACATGGCCAATCAATGCTATCAAACTGCCAACTAATACCATTCACTTTTCCCCGTGCCAGTGTTATTCTAATCAAAACCTTACCACGCAAACTGTTCACTGATCCCTCCCCTAAAAAAAACACCACATGTAAACATTAAAGCTTTCATACTCTTCAATCTTTTGGCGACGAGCTTCACAATCTTGTCTATAAATCTGTATCTTGGGTCGGTAAACATATTGACTTAACATCAGGTCTTCTGGAGTAGGAGGTGTGTTTACGGTAAACTGGAAAAAAAAAATCAGTGCCTGTGAACTGGTATCTTGCAGAAAAAAACATATATAAGAAGTAACTCAAATTTCAGAGTACCTATTTTAAAACATTCTACAAAGAAAAATTTGAATACTCCATTAAGTTCATAATGCTAGTAAACAAAAAATTTGAGTCTGAATTCAAGTCTCTGACTTCTAAGTCCATTTACCCATAGATGTTTATAAAACTACAAGGGAATGAAAGTAGTTCAAAAAACGGCTATGTGTTTAGAAAATAAATACTACCTAAAAATTCAACCAGGAACCCTTTTTAATTTTTCTTTTTAAGCCAGTTTCCTTGTAACTATTCCCATTCTCTAGCCATAATCCTTACTCTACCCCAGGCTGAACTCAAGCTTTTCTGACATATCCTCCATTTATAAAATAAGGCAGTGAAAACTGGGTTATTTAAAAATGTTTTATAGCACTAATCCAATGGCTTTGATGTCCTTGACGCAGTATTGAAAAAAATCAAGTTGGGGCCAGGCATGATGGATCACACCTGTATTCCTAGCACTCTGGGAGGCAGTAGGCGGATTACTTGAGGTCAGGAGTTTGAGACCAGCCTGGCCAATAAGGTGAAACTCCATCTCTACTAAAAATACAAAAATTAACTGGGCGTGATGGCACACATCTGTAGTCCCAGCTACTTGGGAGGATGAGGCAGGAGAATTGCTTGAGTCCAGGAGGCGTAGGTTGCAGTGAGCCGAGACTATGTCACTGCACTCCAGCCTGGGCAACTGGCAAGACTCTATCTCATTAAAAAAAAAAGAAAGAAAAAGAGAAAGAGAAAAAATCAAGTCAGCTCTTTATTTACAAAAATCAAACAAAACCCCACAACTGAACCTCCAACTCCTAGGCTCAGGTGATCTTCCCTGCTCACCTTTTCCAGTAGCTAGAACTACACGTGTGTATCACCATGCAGGCATGGTGATAATTTTGAAATTTTTTGCAGAGATGGGGTCTTGCTATGTTGCCCAGGATAGTATCAAATTCCTGGCCTCAAATGATTCTCCTGCCTCAACCTCCAAAGCACTGGGATTACAGATGTGAGCCACTGTGCCCAGCTACAACTAGCCTTTTATTTTTTTTGAGTCGGGGTCTGGCTGTCACCTAGGCTGCAGTTTAATGGCGTGATTATGGCTCCCTGCAGCCTCAGCCTTCTTGGATCAAGCAATCCCCGACCTCAGCCTGCCAAGTAGCTGGGACTACAGGTGCATGCCAGCTACCATCCCTTTTTTTTGAGTCAAAGTTTCCCTCTTGTTGCCCAGGCTGGAGTGCAATGGCACCGTCATGGCTCACTGCAACCTCCACGTCCTGGGTTCAAGTGATTCTACTGCCTCAGCCTCTTGAGTAGCTTGGATTACAGGTGTGCACCACCACATCCAGCTAATTCTGTATTTTCAGCAGAGACAAAGTTTCACTATGTTGGCCAGGCTGGTCTCGAACTCCTGACCTCACAGGTGATCCACCTGCCTCAGCCTCCCAAAGTACTGGGATTACAGGTGTGAGCCATCACACCTGGCCAAAAAGATTTTTTTTAGGTATGGAGTTTTGCTATGTTGCCAAGCTGGTCTCAAACTCCTAGGCTCAAGTGATTTTCTTGCTCTGGTCTCCCAAAGTGCTGGGATTATGAGCATGAGCCACTGCACCCAGCAAAAAAAAAGTTTTTAAGGTTAGAATTATACATAAAAACTGAAACTATATGTACTGGTTAAAAAAGAAATCGTGGCTGGGTACGGAGGCTCACAGCTATAGTCCCAAAACTTTGGGAGGCCAAGGTGGGCAGATCACCTGGAGCATGACTCTGTCTGGGGAAAAAAAAAAAAAAAAAGAGATGCAGACCTGGGCATGTGGCTCATGCTGTAATCCCAGGAGGTTGAGATGGGAGGATTACTTGAGGCCAGGAACTTGAGACCAGGCTGAGAAACATAGCAAGACCTTGTCTTTATTTATTTATTTACTTTTATTATCTTTTTTTATTTCCCAGATCCCTGTACTGTAAAGACCTTGTCTTTAAAAAAGTCTTTAAACATTAGCTGGGCATGGTGACGAAGTGAGCCATCTCTAAATATAAATAAATGACAGATTGGGCTTTCTAAATACCATTTCCCCCACAAAAAGAAATCAGGAGTCCTTGGAGAAATGGACTGCCTTTCCTACAGGAACCAAACAATTCATGAAGAAATATGTCTTTATAGAAGTATTTAGACAATAAATAAGAAATTACAGAATTACAGGTTGAGTATCCCTTATCCAAAATGCCTGGAACCAGAAGTATTTTGGATTTTTTTTTTTTTTTTTTTTGGAGCCAGAGTCTTGCTCTGTCACCCATGCTGGAGTGCAGTGGCGCAATCTTGGCTCACTGCAACTGCTGCTTCCCAGGTTCAGGCGATTCTCCTGTCTCAGCCTCCTGGGTAGCTGTGACTACAGGTGCATGCCACCACACTGGCTAAATTTTTTGTATTTTTAGTAGAGACGGGGTTTCACTATGTTGCCCAAGCTGGTCTCAAACTCCTGAGCTCAGGCAATCCGCCCACCTTGGCGTCCCAAAGTGCTGGGAATATAGGTATGAGCCACCACGTCTGGCCAAGTATTTTAGATTTTTTTCAAATTTTTGGAATATTTACATATACATAATGAGATATCTTGGGTATGGAACCTGTCTATACATTAAATTCATTTATGTTTCATATATATCTTATACACATAGCCTGACAGTAATTTCATTCAATATTTTAAATAATTTGCATGAAACAAAGCTTATATACATTGAACCATCATAAAGCAAAGGTATCACTATCTCAGCCACCCATGTGGACTATCTGTGGTTGTTAGGCATCACCATCATTCCTGACTCACAGAACATTTTGACAGCAACCCATTACATGAGGTCAAGTATGAAATTTTCCACTTGTGGCATCATGTCAGCACTCAAAAATTTTCAGTTTTAGTGATTTCAGATTTTTGATTTTTTGGATCAGGGATGCTCAACCTGGAGCATATCACTGCTTTACAACCCCTAATGACTTAATGGCTGCATACATATCATCACGAGACATTATATTATCTATCTTCTAATGGAATTACAACTATAAAGTAAACTTGAAAAAAAAAAACCCAAAATCTCTTAATCTGATCAAGCCTCTATCGATTTACAAAAAACACAAGGGCAGAGAAATATTGGGTATGGACAATTAGCAAAATCCAGACTGTGGTAAACTCTACAGGAAAAATCTGGTTTCTTCATTAAAAGGAAGGAAGGAAGAAAAAATAAAGATTAAAAAAATTTTAAATACAAAATAAGAAAAAGAAGAAAAAGAGAGATGGAAAAGGACCTTAAGAGATTATAAGACTAGAGAAAGTTCAGCTAACTGCAATGTTTGAATCTCATTTGGATCCCAAGATAACAAACTGGAAACAAAAAAAGGCATAAGATCATCAGGGAAATATAAACACTGACTGAATAACCATTTTATGGTATGACTATGGTATTGGATATGCTTTTAAAATAAGAGTCTTCATCTTCTTAGGGATACATATTTTAATACTTACAGATTGATTGATGATGCTTGGGATGTGCTTCACAATAATGGGAGAGGGGAAATAGGTTAGGTAGAGAAAAAATGAGAGTAGATTTTTTTTCCTGTGTTTCTTTTTTTTTTGGGAGTTGATAAGTTTTTAAAATTTTGAGACAAGATCTCACTCTGTTACTCAGGCTAGAGTGCACTGGAGTGGTCTCAGCTCACTGCAGCCTCCACCTCCTGGGTTCACGTGACTCTCTCACCTTAGCCTCCCAAGTAGCTGTGACTATAGGCATGCACCACCACTCTCAGCTAATTTTTATACTTTTTTGGTAGAGGGAGGTTTTACCATGTTGGCCAGGCTGGTGGTCTCGAACTTCTGACCTCAAATGATCCTCCTGCCTAGGCCTCCCAAAGTACTGGGATTACAGGTATGAGCCACAGCACCAGGCCAAGAGTTGATAATTTTTGAAGTTGGGTGACAGACACACGAGGATTAATAAAACTACTCTATTTTTGGATATGTTTGAAATTTTCTATGAGACTAAATTTTTTTTAAAAAGGAGGTTTCATCACACTTTCATAACACATAAAGTGAAGTACAAGACCACGTTACCAGAGATCTGCCAAGAATAAAAATGCCAATGAATATTATGCTCATGCACAGTGGGCACATATTGGATGTAGTTGCCCATGCTGTATGCAGTGGGTGGATTAACTGTGGCACCTTGAATTCAGCACCATGTGTAAAGCCAACATCCTCTACTGGACTTATTACAATTAAGTAGTATACAACTTACGCATAATCAGCACCTGAGAACTTCAAGTCTAGAAGGAGCACCTGCAATAGTTCCTCAACCAGCAGGGCATGACAGCTCACGCCTGTAATCCCAGTACTTTGGGAGGCCGAGGTGGGGGTATCACCTTAGGTCAGGAGTTCAAGACCAGCCTGGCCAACATGGTGAAACCCTGTCTTTACTAAATATACAAAAATTAGGCAGGCATGGTGGTGGGCATCTGTAATCCCAGCTCTTCGAGAGGCTGAGGCAAGGAGAATCACTTGAATCTGGGAGGCAAAGGTTGTAGTGAGCTGAGATCATGCTACTGCACTCCAGCCTGGGCGACAGAGGGAGACTCCATCTCAAAATGAATGAATGAATGAATGAATAAATGAATAAACAAAATAGTTCCTCAACCTTACTATGGGATGTGAGTTATAGTGCTTTGGCCTGAGTCACTCCATGAACATGCAGGGGGTTATGGGCCTCTACACTAGCACCTTCTGCTGGTGCTGCAAACTGAGTTCCTGCAACTGGACATATATATGGGATCTGTGTACTACATGTCTATGAGGGCTGGCACACATCTTCCCCCTGCCTCAGGAATACGTTCCCCAATTCCTCCACCCTAAAAGAGCCACAGTCATTCAAATCCTCAAACAGATGCCCAGCGCCATGAACCTCATTTCCTGTGGTCCATTCATAATTAATCTCTTTGGCCTTTTCCTATTTTGGGATTTTCAAACTTCTTTCCTGAAGTACCATGAACTTTCTTTCCATTTTTATGGGTTTGTTCCCAGATATAATTTCCTATCACTGACCCTCTTGACTTCAGTAAGACCTGGGAGGAAAGAGAAAGATTCATAACATCAGTTTGTAAAGGATCAATTCCTAGAGCTTCCTCTCCCTCCTTTGCCCTGCCAGCATCCTCTCTACTCTTATCCTTTCCTGGTGCGCTCCTGTTTGCTCTTGGTCCCCTGATACTCTTTCTACTTTTCTTATAAAGGGAAAGTAGAAAGAGTATCAGACCCTGGATGCACACCTAAGCTCCTTTCTCCTCGCTAGCTACAGCTGAGGCAAGAAAGCTCTACTGGGAAGGGGGAGCTGTCATGGTAATGAGGCTGAGGCCTAAAAGAACTGTGTCCATCTTGCTAATTTCTATCCTTAATTTACCTTTTGTTTTCAAACATATAATTCCCCTGGAATTGATTTGTTTCTAAATAGCTTTATGGAGCTATAATTCACATATAATGTAATACAATTAAATGAATTTTAAAGTATATTCATAAGGTTGTACAACCATCGGCCACAATTTAATTATAAAGCATTTTCATCCCCCTCCTCCCCGCAAAAGAAACTTTGTGTCCATTAGCTTCCACTCTCCATTCTCCTCTATTCCTAAACCCAGCCCTAAGTAATCACTAATTAGTCTACTTTTTGGCTATTATAGCTATTTTGGCTGCTATGAGTGTTTGTGTACAATTTTTTGAGTGAATTTAGTTATTCGTATCTCTTGGGTATATATTTAGAAATGGAATTACTGTTTCATGTTTAACTTTTTGAGGAATTGTCCAGTGTGTCTGCACCATTTTACATTCTCACCAGCAAAGTATAAAGGTTTCCATTTCTCTCTCTCTCTCTCTTTTTTTTTGTTTTTTAAAGGCAGAGACTAGCTCTGTTGCCCAGGCTGGAGTGCAGTGGCACAATATTGGCTCACTGCAACCTCCTGGGTTTAAGCGATTGTCCAGCCTCAGCCTCCTGAGTGGCTGGGACTACAGGTGCACACCACCATGCCTGGCTATTTTTTTTTAGTAAAGACAGGGTTTCACAGTGTTGCCCAGGCTGGTCTCAAACTCCTGAGCTCAGGCAATCTGCCCACCTTGGTCTCCCAAAGTGCTAGGATTACAGGCATGAGCCACTGTGCCTGGCCAGGTTTCTGTTTCTCTATATTGTTGCTGACACTTGTTATTTCTGTCTTTTTTATTATAGCCACCCTAGTGGCTATGAAGTTGTAACTTGTTTTCACTACCATTTACTAATGGCTAGTGATGCTGAAGACATATATCTTCAGCATCATTAGCCATTTTTTTTTTTTTTTTTTAGACAAAGTCTTGCTTTGTCACCAGGCCGGAGTGCAGTGGTGTGATCTTGGCTCACTGCAACCTCCATCTCCCGGGTTCAAGCAATTCATTCTCCTGCCCCAGCCTCCCAAGTAGCTGGGACTACAGGCACACACCACCACGCCCAGCTAACTTTTGTGTTTTTAGTAGAGATGGGGTTTCACAATGTTGGCCAGGAGGGTCTCAATCTCTTGACCTCGTGATCTGCCCACCTCAGCCTACCAAAGTGCTGGGATTACAGGTGTAAGACTGTGCCCAGCCCATGATGCTGAAGATATTATAATGTGTTAAATGACCATTTGTATACAGTTGTGTTGCTTAACAATGGGGATAGTTCTGAGAAATCCTCTGTTAGGTGATTTCAGAGTATACTTACACAAACCTAGGTTGTACAACCTACCACACACCTAGGCTATACGGTATAGCCTACTGCCTACAAATCTGTCCTATACTGAATACTATAGGCAATTGTTATATAACGTTAAGTATTTGTATATCTAGACATATCTACACATAGAAAAGGTAAAGGTATGGTATAAATGAAAAAAACAGGCCCAGCGTGGTGGCTCACACCTATAACCCCAGCACTTTGGGAGGTAGAGGTGAGTGGAACATTTGAGGTCAGGAGTTCAAGAACAGCCTGGCCAATGTGATGAAACCTTTTCTCTACTAAAACTATAAAAAAATTACCTGGGCATAGTAGCACACACCTATAATCCCAGCTACTTGGGTGGCTGAGGCAAAAGAATTGCTTGAATCCGGGAGCTGGAGGTTGCAGTGAGCTGAGATTGCATCACTGCACTCCAGCCTGGGTGATGGAGGGAGACCCTGACTTAAAAAAAAAAACTTTACACTTGTATGGGGCACTTCCATGAATGGAGCTTACAGGACTGAAAATTGCTCCAGGTGAGTCAGTGAGTGAATGTGAAGGGCTAGGAGATTACTGTACACTACTGTAGACTTTATAAACACTGTATTCTCAGGCTACTGTTTGAGACGGAGTCTCACTCTGTCACCCAGGCAGGAGTGCAGTGGCCTGATCTAGACTCACTGCAACCTTCAGCCCCCAGGGTTCAAGTGATTCTCCTGCCTCAGCCTCCTAATTAGCTGGGGTTATAGGCATGTGCCACTACGCCCAGCTAATTTTTGTATTTTTAGTAGATGTTAGTAGTATTTTTAGTAGATTTTAGCCTGTCACTGCGCCCAGCTAATTTTTCTATTTTTAGTAGAGACAGGGTTTCACCATCTTGGCCAGGCTGGTGTTGAACTCCTTACCTCGTGATCCACCTGCTTCAGCCTCCCAAAGTGCTGGGATTACGGGCATGAGCCACCATGCCTGGCCTTATATTTCTTTAAGAATAAATTAACACTTAGTTTACTATAACTTTTTACTTCCAAACTTTTCAACTTTTTGACTCTTTTATATTGCTATTTAGCTTAAAACATGAACACACTGTACAGCTGTACAAAATATTTTTCCTTTATATCCTTATTCTATAAACTTTTTTCAATTTTAAAATTTAAAATTTTTTAAAGCTTTTCAAACTTAAACTAAGATACTAACACACATATTAGCCTAGGCCTACACAGGGTCAAAGTCATTAATATTGTCTTCCACCTCCATTTCTTGTCCTACTGGAAGGTCTTAAAAAATAATAACACCCATGGAGCTATCATCTCCTATGATAACAATGCCTTCTTTTGAAATAACTCCTGAAGGACTTGCCTGAGGCTGTTTTATAGTTAACTTGTTTTATTTATAAGTTGGATTACATTCTAAAGTAACAATAAAGGCCAGGCACAGTGGCTTGAGTCTGCAATCCTAGCACTTTGAGAGCCAAGACAGGATTGCTCGAGGCCAGGAATTTGAGACTAGCCTGGTCAACATAGTGAGACCCCCTCTCTCTACAAAACATTTAAAAAGTAGCCAGGTATAGTGGCTTGTATGTATAATCCTAGCCACTTGGGAGGCTGAGGCAAGAGAATCACTTGAGCACAGGAGGTTGAAGCTGCAGTGAGCCAACCAGCCTGGGTGACAAAGTGAGATTCTGGCTCAAAAAAATAAAATAATGTAACAATAAAGAGTATACTATAGTAAATACATAATACAGTAACTTAATGGTTTGTTATCATTATTAAGTATTATGTTATTGTACATAATTATATGTACTATCCTTTAACAGGACTGGCAGCACAGGTTTGTTTACATTAGCATCACAACAAACATGTGAGTAATGCCTTGTGCTACATTACAGTGTCACCAGGCAATGGAAATTTTCCAGCTCCATTATAATTTTTTTTTTTTTTTGAGAAAGAGTTTTGCTCTGTTTTCCAGGCTGTGGTGGCGGGCGCCTGTAGTCCCAGCTTCTCATGAGAATCTAATGTGTGATGATCTGTCAGTGCCTCTCATCACCCCTAGATGGGACTTTTGCATGTGCAGTTTACAACAGGGTTCACACTCCTATGAGAATCTAATGCCACTGCTGATCTGACAGGAGGCAGAGCTCAGGTGGTAATGCAAGCAATGGGGAGTGGCTGTAAATATAGCAGCTTTGCTAGCTCACCACAATTCACCTTCTGCTGTGTGACCCAGTTCCTAACCCCAGGGTTTCAGGACCCTTCGTCTAAAAGATAGTGTGTTTCTTAATTTTTAAGAATCTCAGAATATTTTGGTTCTTTTGTTAGTTTTAATTTTATTGGATCAAGATTAAATGTCGTCTCTGTAAAACCTCCATTTTTTCCAATGTGTTAATGTTTTCTTTGTGGCCAAGAGTATAACTAACTTTTGGAAATGTTTGATAGACTTACGAGAAAAAATATTCCCACATAAGGAATACAAGTTTTTCTATTAAATTGAGTTTGTTGGCTGGGCACAGTGGCTCACGCCTGTAATTCCAGCACTTCGGGAGGCCGAGGCGGGTGGATCACGAGGTCAAGAGATTGAGACCATCCTGGTCAACATGGTGAAACCCCGTCTCTACTAAAAATACAAAAAATTAGCTGGGCGTGGTAGCGCGTGCCTCTAATCCCAGTTACTCGGGAGGCTGAGGCAGGAGAATTGCCTGAACCCAGGAGGTGGAGGTTGTGGTGAGCCGAGATCGCACCATTGCACTCCAGCCTGGGGAACAAGAGCGAAACTCCATCTCAAAAAAAAAAAAGTGCAATATATCTTAACTGAGATAACTAGTTTGCCAAGAAACTGAACTTACATTGCCTGGAAGATTGCTCTGTCGGGGTTTCTGTATCAAGATGTGGACCTGGAGAAGTATAAAGAACTCTCTTATTGTTATTCTCCCATCTTTGAGTTTCTGAGAAAAGAAAAAAAAAGTTCGCGTGACCATTCAATATGATCTCACTTTGATATAACCAGCTCATTTTTGTTTCTAAAAGCTTAAAGTACCTTGTATATATTTATGAAAATATTATCCAGATATCTGCAGGCTATAAATCAGATTTTATCTAAGATTATTTCTTAAGGTTATTAAAATAACAATAGAGTTTAAAAAAAATCCAAAAACCCAAAACATACATCTTTTTTTCCTTGTTTTGAGACAAGGTCTTACTCTATTGCCCAGCCTGGGGAGCAGTTGTGTGATCATGGCTCACTGCAGCCTTGAACTCTTGGGCTCAGGTGATTTTTCTGGCCTCAGGCTCCCATGTTGCTGGGATTACAGGCATGCACCACCATGCCCAGCCAAAACAAATTCCTTTTAATCATGACTTCTACTCCATTTAATTAATTGCTATGTTGGATCTTTAACAAAGAAAAGTAGTCTTCTGTAGATCTAAAATATTTCATAATTTAAAAAAAAATTTAAACCAAGAAAATTACTTGTATTAGAGACATTTAAACTTCTTTTCTTTGTAAATAAATAAAAATAATAATAATTTTAACATACCTCCCTCAAGCTCTCTTCACAAATAGTATCTCTGAGAAACTGTGATTCCATTTGACTACTGCGGTAAGCTAAAAGAAAAGGAAATTCTGGTGAGGAACAAGTCAAAAGTAACTGTGAACTTAACTGTAGTTATCATTCAGATCATTTGTAATCCTGAAGCCACCCACTGTGATCTATCTGGGAAGGAAGTCATGTAGCAGAGCAAAGTACACATAGTTTTAAAATCCAATGTTTATCCACTAATTATAAGCCCATGAAGGAAATCACTCTATTTCTCAGCAGTATGTCACTTCTCAATGCATTAAAATAACTAAGAATTAAAAATAAACCAAATATTATTTTACTAATCAACTTTTTATAATCCCAAAATGGCATATACAACATTCAAATATTTCCTGAACTAAGATATATTTATTATTAGTCAAGTAAGCAGATGGCTGGTATTATTTAGCCTTCATGAAGATCTTACTGCTAAAGTCCAGGGAGGTCCCATCAGCCTTGATCGAATCCAGAGAGCTGCTGCAACTAGATGGGGTCCTGCTCAGGCTTTTTATCAATACACTGTTAGCAGTTTTATCTATATGCTCTTCAGTATGGTGATCAAAAATCTGAAATTGTCAATTAAGGAATATCATCAGAATAAAGTATACACTGTATACTTATGATGAACACTGACAGAAATACTACTTCTAACATATAATTTATCTATAATTCATGTGAAATAATCTCAGTAAAGAAGTAACAAGCATCTTAGGCCTTTATAGTTTAAAAGTAATTTTATTAAAAATATATGAAAATAACTTTATGGTTTATACTGTGTATGCAAATTATTTCTCATTATGTATCTAAGTTATAATTAGATCCTGTAAGCTACCAAATGTTGACATATCTAGTTATTCAACTACTAGCCACCAATAGCAGGTCTACCACACTGCAGAAAACCAGACTCGAGTATCAGCTGCATGTGGTGGCCTTGGCTAGAATCCAGACAATAAACTTATTTCCCAGTTCTTCTACTTTCCTACCCAGCTGACCAAGACTTCTTTGGCTGAATAAGTTACGTGGTCCTGCTTTTATCATTTTAACCATTTGACTTCACCACTTTAAATGCCATCTTCATCTACCTTCTTACATGTTTTTTGGAAAAAATATATTCTATTATCTAAATGTTATTATGGGGGCTGGGTGCAGTGGCTCAGGCCTGTAATCCCAGCATTTTGGGAGGCTGAGGAGGGCAGATCTCTTGAGGTCAGGAGTTTAAGACCAGCCTGGCCAACACTGTGAAACTCTGTCTCTAATAAAAATACAAAAGCCAGGTGTCGTGGTGCATGCCTGTAATCACAGCTATTCAGGAGGCTAAGACAGGAGAACTTCCTGCACATGGGAGGCAGAGGTTACAGTGAGCTGATATTGCACCACTGCACTCCAGCCTGGGCAAGAGAGCAAGACTCGATCTCAAAACAAACAAGCAAAAAATAAACAAACAAATAAATAAACAAATGCCATTATGGGCTGGTTGTGGTGGCTCATGCCTGTAATCCCAGAACCGTGGGAGGCCCAGGTGGGTGGGTCACTTGAGGCAAGGAGTTTGAGACCAGCCTGGCCAACATGGTGAAACCTCGTCTCTACCAAAAATACAAAAATTAGCAGGGTGTGTTGGCATACACCCATCCTCCCAGCTAATTGGGAGGCTGAGATATCAGAATCACTTGAACCAGGGAGTCAGAGGTTGCAGTGAGTCAAGATCACTCTACTGCACTCAAGCCTGGATGATAAAGTGAGCCTCAGTCTCAAAAACAAATAAATAGCCAGGTGTGGTGGCTCACGCCTGTAATCCCAGCACTTTGGGAGGCTGAGGTGGATCATGAGGCCAGGATATCGAAACCATACTGGCTAACCCAGGGAAACTTTGTCTCTACTAAAAATACAAAAAAATAGCCAGGCGTGGTGGCACACACCTGTAGTCCTGCTACTCAGGAGCCTGAGGCAGGAAAATTGCTTGAACCTGGGAGGCAGAGGTTGCAGTGAGCTGAGATCACACCACTGCACTCCAGCCTGGGCGACAGAGTGAGACTCTGTCTCTAAATAAATAAATAAATAAATAAATAAAGTTATTATGTAAGCTCCATGAGAGCAGATTTTTGTCAGCATTCCTAGCATATAGAACAGTGCCTGGGCTGGGTGCAGTGGCTCACGCCTATAATCCCAGCACTTTGGGAGGCCAAGGCGGGTGGATCACGAGGTCAAGAGATCGAGACCATCCTGGTCAACAAGGTGAAACTCCATCTCTACTAAAAATACAAAAATTAGCTGGGCATGGTGGTACGCGCCTGTAGTCCCAGCTACTCGGGAGGCTGAGGCAGGAGAATTGCTTGAACCCAGGAGGCGGAGGTTGCAGTGAGCTGAGATCGTGCCATTGCACTCCAGCCTGGGTAACAAGAGCGAAACTCCATCTCAAAAAAAAAAAAAAAAAAAAAAAAAAACAACAGTGCCTAAGACATAGCAGATACTCAGCTGGGCGTGGTGGCTGACACCCATAATCCCAGCACTTTGGGAGGCTGAGGTGGGTGGATCATGAGGTCAGGAGATCAAGACCATCCTGGTCAATATGGTGAAACCCCGTCTCTAATGAAAATACAAAAATTATCTGGGCAAGGCAGCAGCGCCGGTAGTTCCAGCTACTCAGGATGCTGAGACAGGAGAACTGCTTCAACCCGGGAGGCAGAGGCTGCAGTGAGCCAAGACTGTACCACAACACTCCAGCCTGGGTAACAGAGACTCTGTCTCAAAAACAAAAACAAACACAAAAAAAGACATAGCAGATACTCTATATATTTACTGAAAATAGAATGCAGGCCAAGCACAGCGGCTCACTCCTATAATCCTGGAACTTTGGGAGGCTGAGGTGGGCAGATCATCTGAGGTCGGGAGCTCAAGACCAGCCTGGCCAACATGTTGAAACCAAGTCTCTACTAAAAGTACAAAAAATAGCCAGGCATGGTGGTAGACCCACATCCGGCTATTTTTTATATTTTTAGTAGAGACTCTATCCTACCTACTCTGGACATATTTTTGTATTTTTAGTAACGCTGTTATCACAGCTACTCAGGAGGCTGAGGCAAGAGAATCCCTTGAACCCAGGAGGCGGAAGATCCAGTAAACTGAGATGGCACCATTGCACTCCAGCCTGGGAAAGAGCAGAACTCCATCTCCAAAAAAAAAATAGAATGCAAATTTCCATAAAAGCTATTGTTAAATTTTATATTACTACTTTCTCATAATTTTATGACTAATCATTGGCTCATGACATTATCTTATTGAGTCACTCAAATTACCTTCTCTGCTTACTTATGTACTGAACAGAGTTGAAGCCTTGTTTTCTATGAACCTCTGATACTTCCTAATCTTTATTTTTCCACCTATAAAATTTTATCTAAGTGACAGATTTTTTTCTCCCCAAGTTATCGAAATGTGCTTCTTGACTTAAAAACATTTGTCTTCTTAAAAAAATAGTGCTTCTTTTCATACAAAATGACCTGGGCATTCTCCTGCCCACTAAAGAAATGGACTCTCTAAGGCCAGGCACAGTGGCTCATGTCTGTGTTCCCAGCACTTTGGGAGGCTGAGGCAGGCAGATCACTTGAGGTCAGGAGTTTAAGACCAGCCTGGCCAACATGGGGAAACCCATCTCTACTAAAAACACACACACACACACACACAAATTAGCCAGGTATGGTGGTGGGCGCCTGTAACCCTAGCTAATTAGGAGACTGAGGCAGGAAAATCGCTTGAACCTGGGAGGCGGAGGCTGCAATGAGCCATGATCGTTTCAGTGTACTCCAGCCTGGGCAACTGAGAGAGACTCTGTCTTAAAAATAAAATAAAATAGGGGCCGGGTGCGGTGGATCACGCCTGTAATCCCAGCACTTTGGGAGGCTGAGGCGGGTGGATCACGAGGTCAACAGATCGAGACCATCCTGGTCAACATGGTGAAACCCTGTCTCTACTAAAAATACAAAAAATTAGCTGGGTGTGGTGGTGTGTGCCTGTAATCCCAACTACTCAGGAGGCTGAGGCAGAATTGCCTGAACCCCGGAGGCAGAGGTTGCGGTGAGCCGAGATTGTGCCATTGCACTCCAGCCTAGGTAACAAGAGCAAAATTCCGTCTCAAAAATAAATAAATAAAATAAAATAAAAAGAAATGGACTCTCACCCTTAACTTCTACATGTCCTCGTCAGCCAAGAAAATTCAGTCAAGCTTTATTTCATGCAGTTTACAAAACAGAAAGGCTTTTTACTCCCCAAATATAACAATACTGAAGATGACTTTTCAAACTATATATACCCTCCCTAGAGAGTCTTATATAAAGCCAAATTAACAAACACTAGAGGTGACAATATTTGCCTTTTGAAATCATACAACTTTAACACTTCCTGTACAATTTTTCATTTAATTTTCTTGTGACTATTTGTCACTTTTAAGTTGCTTTGAAGTCTAGCTGTTAGGCAATTAATTCCTGAAGGTTCTACAAAAGAATATTTCTCCAGCCCTGTAAGTGGAAATAATCATTTTCTGCCACCCAAGACAGATTAAAATTTGAGAATACCCACAATTAAAAAAAAAAAACTAAAAACCCAAAACTCAAGAACATTCCTTGATTCAAGACAGAGCTTACCTCCTGATCTTGTGCAGTATCACTAAACTTAATCTCATTTTTTCTGATTTTTTTCTCCTTCTGAGTATCTTCTTCTTCTTGTACCCAGGTTCTTTTTTGGCTAATGAAAATTTTCTCCATTTTATTTTCATATGGTGAAATCTCTTTTTGGTATGTCTCAATCAAAGCCTTTTCCTCAGTTTCTATGTTAATAGAGTCTGAGGAACTGATCTCATCAGGATCTATAGGAAGATTTTCCTCATTTATATATTGAGAAGGACTTAGGTTCAGTTTAGCTGCAACAGATCCAATGCCTGAATCTTGGCTAGAGACTGGCTGAGTTTCTATGTGATTTAAATCAGTTGTGTATGCTGGAATCTGTTCCAGGTCTTCAATACCAGTGATACTGCAATTTCTCTTGTTTGGCAATCTAGGCAAAAAGATTCCCAAAGAACATCTCCTCACTTTATCTTTAACAACTGTCTTTAATGGTAGAGAGGTGGTTTCAGCTTCATTACGAGACTTTTTATTTTCTTCATCTCTACTATCTTTAGCATTGCTGGAGATTATGTTAATATTAAGTATTTCTGTAGCTTGCACTACACTCATACCATTGTGTGCCTTATTTCCCAATTCAAGTAATTGCTCTGGAGGAGGTGGTACATGAACAGTTTGAAAAGCTTCAGTTTTTCCATTCAAATCATTCAGATTTGGTTTGACTCTAAGAAAACAGTGAATATTAGATGTCATTGCAGGATCTGGTGCTTTTCCAGCATTCACATGAGTTTGAATGACTTGCTTAGTCAAATCTGAGTTACTGTGGAAATCAAGAGCTGAATTACAGTTAGTTGTTTGAGTATTTTCCTTCAGTTCTTCTTTATAGGCTGCAGCAAACCACTTCTCATTATTGAGCATTTTAGGCTTGTTTTCACATATGGGTGCAAGATCATTCTGCACTGGGCAATTATTGGCTTTTTCCTTATCTTTATCACATAAGGGCATGGCACTACCCTCCAAATTATCAGTATAGTTAATAACATTTGGAAAACAGGAATAATTATCACTGGATCCACAAACAGCAATTGCATGACTGCTTATAAAATCTACATTTCTTCTCTCTCTATTATTTAACTGACAGCTTTCAATTTGGGCTTTTTCCAACGTACAGGCCTGGTCTACAACTTTCCCTATGACTTTTTCATCCATAGCAGCATTATGGAATTTGATGATTTCCATTTCACCTTGATTCCCAGACAATGTATTAGTAGAAGCAAAGCGTTGTTGCTTTTGCTCAGTGTAAAGAACAATTTTGTTTTCTATACCCAGTGCTTGTTTTTCAGCGATTTCTTGAACACAGCTATTATCCTTAGGAAAGGAAACACCCAAGTTTTTTCCTTTTGCTATTCCAAATTTAAGGTTCTCCTCAAGTATTTTCTCTGTGGCTTGACATTCAATAAAAGCAGTATGGGATGTGGTGACATCCAGATCATTGTGATTATCTGTGAATATTACAGTTTTGTCCATGGGCCTAGTAACTATTTCATTTGGCAAGACAGTTTTATATTCTAAGGTAGTTGTGTGACTTCTAGTGATCTCCATGTCATCCTGCTCATATGAATACAAAACAGTTTTAGAAGCCCCTGCCAAAGGCACCAAATGGAAGTCCTCTTGATCCTCCAGGGCACTTTTGTTATCTATTTCCACCATACAACTCTGGGTAATATCCATATCATTTTTGTCATTCTCAGAAAATACAATGGTCTTGTCATTTTTTAGCTTAAGGCTTTTTCTTCTCTGACTTTTGGCTGATAGAAGTTCATTCAGAAATCCAGGATTTTGTACATCTTTGATGTTTTTCCAAGTGGTTGATTTAGACACTTCCATGTTATCAGCAACCTCTACAAGACCCCTATTATTGGGCCATTCCTCCAGAGGTGTTAGCTGGCTGTCACTTGCTACTAGACCATCACTTTCACCATTTTCTGGCAAGAAAACGCTCTCCTCAATAGGAGTACATAACACTTTTGGTGTTCCTAGGCTTTTCCTTTCGGATAGTTCAAAGTTAGGACTGTTTGGAAGAACAGTTCTTTCCTTTTCTTGGTAGTCAATGAAAACAGTATGGGACTTTGTCATTTCTAGTTCATCATGATTATCTACAAACAATACAGTTTTGTCCATAGGCCTAGTAGTTATTTCGTCTGGTGAGACAGTTTTACATCCTAAGGCAGTTGTGTGACTTCTAGTGATTTCCATGTCATCTTGCCCACATGTATATAAAATAGTTTCAGAAGTTCCTGCCAATGGCACCAAATGACAATCATGTTTATCTAATAAAGGTCTATGGTTTATTTCCATTGTATAACTCTTAGTGATATCCATATCATTCTTATCTTCTGAAAATACAATAGTCTTATCAATTTTTAGTCCACCAACACTTTTCCTTCCCCAAATTTTGACATTTTGCTTTTCCTCAGGAAATTCAGGTTTTTGTACACTTTCATCCTCTAACACATCCATAATACTGTTAGATACAAGTACTCCACTTCTTTCTATGGGACTTTTACCACATTTTTCAACTTTTACAGCTGTCTGTCTGCTTGCTGTTGTTAGCTGGCTAATAGTGTGTTCTAAATTAGTTTTGCCAAGTTTCTGTAGTTCAAAAGGACCAAATCCAATGACAACAGTGTGGCTCTTTGTTAGATCCATATTTTGCTCTTCCTCGGAACACATAAGCATCTTGTCCTGACAATAGTCAGGTGTGGGATTACTTAAACTTTTCCTCAGTGGCTCAGCCAGTTTAGAATTCTGACCTAGTAGAGATTTCACCGTATGACTACTAATAGTAGTATCATGAATTTTCATAGAAGATTGTCCTGATGAAGAGAATTGCTTTGTAGTAGAAAACAAAGATTGTTCACATGAAATTGTATTTCTATTAGCTACTTGTTTATCAAAAACTCCACCAGAGTAGACTATATTATGGCTTGTTGCTATGTCCTGATTACAATCAGCTGACTGAGGAAAATCTTTATCAAGGTATGGCAAAATCTTCAAAATCTGCTCTTTGTCTTTGTTACAGGCATCGCTTAGGCTGTTTTTAGATATTATGTCTGGTTGTTGAAATGGTTCAGTATGACTTTTGGTCATTTTTTGACATTTATCTGAACAGCTTTTACTATGAGAGTGAGATTCACTGGTATTCTCCGGTGCTGGACTGTAAGTTACAAGAGGAACCTGACTTCCTAAGTTACTTGTGTGACTTTCAGTCAAATCCATATCTTCACCTGCTAAAAGTTCAGTCTTTCTACCAGTCAATGAAATAGATAAAATATTTGACAAGCTCTGCTGTATTCTTTCCTTAGATACACGAGGAATTGAGTTACAATTTACATTTGTTTTCCCATCTTCTGATATGGTCATGTGATTTTGGAGCATCATTTCTTTTTCAGGTGGTAGTACAGCTGCTATCTGCACATTTGATTGATCTTGTTTAAAAATCTGATTATCTATTTCAACTGTGTGACTCTTGGTGATATCCATGTTCTCCTCTCCAGAATAAATAGTTTTCTCTGTGAGACAAAACATAGCATCTGGATTGCAATATATTTTAGAATAATTACTGTCATGCTTTAGCAAATTTTTCTCTTCTCTCATACTTGAGACACACTTGGTCATTTCCATGGTATCACTACGACTGGAATAGAAAACTGTCTTACAACCTTGAATAGCTGAATTAGAACATATAGATTCTGGGGTCCTGGCTAATATTGGGGCATCTTGATTACAAGTATGTGAGACTATGTGAGTTTCCGCTCCCATAATATGACCTTTGGTAATATGTATTTTGTCTGCAGGGTTTATGGAAGGGTCTTGAAAAGCAGCATTTTGTTTACTCTTAAAAATTGTTTTCTTTCCTGAAGCTTTAGTCTCATAACCTGTTGTTACATCCATTATGGCATTCTGAGTTTGATTTTCTATTTTAGAAAAATTATCTGTTGCGGGTAAAATCTGTATAGTGTGGTTCAATGTCAAGTCCATAATGTCACTGCCATAAATTGTAATATCATTACCTTTAGATTCCTGTGAGTTGGTCTCCCTGGATGTGGGAATCAATGTCTGAATATTCGCTGTATGACACTGAGTGAAATTCATCCCATCATCTTTTTCTCTAAAGATCCTAGTAATGTTACTGTTACTCTCATCTTCATTAAGAGATACATGCACATGACGTGTAGAAAAGGCGTTACGTGATTCATCAGAATAAACAGGTATCTCAAAATTTTCTTTATCAGGCCCATTAGGAAAAGCATTACATTTTCTTGTTTTCAATCTTTTTATGAAGTCATTGAAATTTATTTTCTTTTCTGAAGAAGTGTTTCGATCCATGGAAAAATTTAATTCTTTTTTCATTCTTGAGTCCTCAGTGTGAAGCTTTAAATTAGCTAGAAATGATGTGGTATCTATCTTGGTGGACTTTTCACTTTTGGGATTATCTAAAAGGCCTTTGGTAATCATTACAGTGTGACTTGATGTCAGATCCATCTGGTTTTCATCTGAAAAGATGACTGTCTGGTCATTTGCATGTTTCCTTTCATGGTTATGTTCTATAACTGAAAACTATAATGAAAAGAAAATGTAAGAGATCAGAACAAATGCAAACTTTTAAAAAGGTATTTTGTAACATGTATTATATAAAAAATCCTCAGTGATGGTTTCATAACACATTAGTTTGTTTGAATCAATAAAGTAGTATGTTGCCTAAAATTTGCCATTTAAAATTATTCTAGGCTGGGCACAGTGGCTCAGGCCTGTAATCTAAGCACTTTGGGAGGCTAAGGCAGGATTGCCTGAAGCCAGGAATAACAAAGTAAGATCCTGTCTATACAAAAAACATTTAAATATTAGCCACAGTGGTGGATGCCTGTAGTCCCAGCTGCTAGGAAGGCTGAGGTGGGAGGACTGCTTGAGTCTAGGAGTTTGAGCTGTAGTGAGCTAGGATCACACCACTGCACTCCAACCTCAGCAACAGAGTAACATCCAGTCTCTTAGAAAAAGAAAAGAAAAATTCTAAAATCTGTGAATCTGTGAGTAATTTACTTTTTAGTGTTTGGGGACAAATTAAAAATTCAAGGTTAATTATATACCCACTAGAATGACTAAAAAATGAAAAATACTGACAGCACCAAATGTAAACATAATGAAAATTCTAATTACTATACTGAATAGAAGGTCATTCTTATCCTAAATTTTAAAAGACTAGGAAAGGCATTAAGCGCATGGTGGCTAATCTATATTACATTCTAGACTGGGTGTGGTGGCTCACACTTGTAATCCCTGCACTTTGGGAAGCTGAGGCAGAAAGACCTCTTGGGCCCAGGAGTTCAAGACCAGCCTGGGCAACATAGTGAGATCCTGTCTCTACAAAAAATGAACAAAATTAGCTAGGCATGGTAGCCTATGCCTGTAGTCCCAGCTACTCAGGAGGCAGAGGTGGGAGGTGCTTGAGCCCAGAAGGTTGAGGTTGCAGTGAGCCAAGATTGTGCCACTGCACTCCAGCCTAGGCAACAGTGTAAGACTCTGTCTCAAAAAAAACAAAAACAAAATCCTTCCTGTAGGAGATAGCTTAAAAAAATATACACACACACACACACACACAGACATATATGCATATTACATTCTATGCTACAACAGTTTTTTTTTGACAAGGACAAGATTAACTCCTTGCTACTGAAAACACTGCCTATGGACTTGTATACTAGTATCACTCAGGAAACAGAAATAAAGACTCATATGCTCTTTAAACTTTGAGAGGTATACTGTATCTCCCATTATTTAAACTGGCAGTGATTCAACTATCCTTAAGTTAACTGGAAAGGTGGGACGCGTTTCCAGTTTAGGCTGATTCATTTTATTAAGTCATCCCTAAATTATGCCATTATCACTGAATTATGTTTTCTGTTTTAACAATCAGAAGACATTAAAATATGAAGGCATTTGCATGAACTTATACCTCCTTCTGTTGCATCCGGGTATGAATGGGAGCAGAAAGCAATGTGTTCATCCCTATTTAGAAAAAGAAAAAACTGTAGTCAGAAAATATATTACTGAGCCTCATTTTCCCTTTCTTAGGTTCTTCATCAGTTACAAGTATTTAAAAGAATTTATTGGTAACTAAGCCCTTAAGAATTTATGTTATTAATTTTTTTAATTTTTAAAAATTGATATATAATAGTTGTACATATATTTGTGTTACATGTGATATTCTGATATCTGTATACAATGTGTAATGATCAAATCAGAGTAATTGGAATATTCACCACCTCAAACATTTATCTCTTATGTTGGGAACATTTTAAATTTCATAAAACTTTTAATTGTCCTATGTTAGTGACAGAGAGATCAATAATTATTATACATCCTCTGTGTGGTTGAAATCTTTTTATAATGTGGCAGTGACTTTAAAGGTGGAAAGTTTGGACTACTAATTATTATTTTTTATTTCTCTATTTTTATTTCCTGGATAGAAGTCCCATGGAGAAGAGCATCAGGTGATGAGACTGAAAGGTTAGGGGAGGATTCTAAAGGGTCTTTTATTCTGTGTTAAGGCATCTAGACGTTCCCATGATAAGACATATGCGCTTTATAAAATTAATCCCCTTATAACATATAATGCGTTTTAGAAAAATAGCAAAAAGTAATAAGGAGAAGAAAGTAGATTCAAGAGAAGATAAACCAATTGGGAAGTTACTATAATAGTTCAGATTAACAAACGAGTTCATGTTAGGGCAACAGAGCAACTAAAAAGGGAATAAAGGATTAGACTCAAGATTTATTTTAGAACTACAAATTAGACTTCGTAAATAAGGAAGGGATTGAAAAGGATATATGAAAACAGAAAATACATTTTAAAATACTTAAGTTTAAAGGCAAATCTTTAGAACATATTAAAGAATTTATGGCAACCTTGAGTACATACAATGAAATAATTATAAGCTTTTTTTTACTAAAAGCCTTTTTTAGGCCAGGCACAGCAACTCACACCTGTAATCCCAGCACTTTGGGGGCTGAGGTGGGCAGATCATGAGGTCAAGAGAGCAAGACCATCCTGGCCAACATGATGAAACCCCGTCTCTACTAAAAACACAAAAATTAGCTGGGCGTGGTGGCCACACCTGCAGTCCTAGCTACTCAAGAGGCTGAGGTGGGAGAATTGCTTGAACCTGGGAGGCCAAGGCTGCCATGAGCCACTGTACTCCAGCCTGGTGACAGAGTGAGACTCCATCTCAAAAAAAAAAAAAAAAAAAAAAAGAGCCTTATTTATATGTCAGGCTTCCATTCATTCAACAAATAATGATTCAGAACCTATTACATGGGGGAAAAAAAAAATACAAACCTCAACTGTCTACTAAGGTACAAAGAAGAACAAGACAAAATTTCTGGACTCCCAGAGATGGTGGTTCAGCTATTCCGAGCACACTGTCTATGGGGTAGCCCTGCTCCTCAAGGAGCAGTACTCCCCCACCCCCCAAAAAAATTTTAGCTTCTTTAGTAAGAGAGTCAGAAATACTTAAAATATAATGTGATAAATTCTAAAATATATTGAGAAATAAAAGAGGTGTTATGGAAGCACAGAACATGTGACTAACTCCTTACTTTTGTCATTTAAGCCAGTGCTACTTGAAGTATAGTGCCAGACTGTGAACTGCTTATTACCAATACATAATGAGATAAGGAACTTGAGGCAAACATAAATCATAAAATAATAATTGCTAGAAAAAAAGTATAAGCTAAACAAAACAGTGGCTTAGTGCCACAGTTAATGCACATTATGGTGCAAGTTCCTTTTCTGTCATGGACTGAGCAGTTAATTTGTGGACTGGCTTCTTTGAATAGCATTGAAGTTAAACTAAGTGAAGTGAAAAATGAAAAGCCTGGCAGGCAAACAGGGGTAGAAAGATCACTTTAGATAGAGAAAATAGCATTTATAAATGCATATAGGGACCAGGTGCAGTACCTTATGCCTGTAATCCCAGCACTCTGGGAGGCCAAGGCAGGCAGATCATCTGAGGTCAGGAGTTCGAGACCAGCCTGGCCAACATGGTGAAACCCCATCTCTACTAAAAATAGAAAAGTAGCTGGGTGTGGTGGCACACACCTGTAATCACAGCTACTTGGGAGGCTGAGGCAAGAGAATCACTTGAACCCGGGAGGTGGAGGTTGCAGTGAGCCAAGATTGCACCAATGCATTCTAGCCTGGGTGAAAGAGTGAGACTCTGTCTCAAAAAAATAAAATAAAATAAAATAAAATAAAAATCAAATGCATATAGGCAGAAAGAGAGTTCATATGGTGAATTGCAAATAATTCAACATTGGCTAGAGCATAGGATACCTATAAAGGGCAGGAGATAAGTTGGGAGAAGACAGGCCAAACGATCAAGTTCATTCTAACTCACTGCTAAGGAGCATGGGCTTTATTCTGCAGGCAAAAAAGAGTCATCAAATCATTTTAAGCTGGAAGATAATATAATCAAATTTAGAAATATGGAGAATAGCTGGGGGTGGTGGCTCACGAGGTCAACAGATCGAGACCATCCTGGTCAACAAGGTGAAACCTCGTCTCTACTAAAAATACAAAAATTAGCTGGGCATGGTGGTACACGCCTGTAGTCCCAGCTACTTGGGAGGCTGAGGCAGGAAAATTGCCTGAACCCAGGAGGCGGAGGTTGCGTGAGCCAAGATCGTGCCATTGCACTCCAGTCTGGGTAACAACAGCGAAACTGTCTCAAAAAATAAATAAATAAATAAATATGGAGAATGGATTGGGAAGGATAATACATGAAATACAATAGCCCAAGAAAAAATGAGGTCTTGAATTAAAGCAGTGGCAGAAGGAATAGAGAACAGGTAATAGATTTTCAAGACATTTAGGAGACAAAAATAGAAAGTAGGCCAGATGACTTCTTGATTCCTAAGTGAATAACTGAATGAGCGCGAATCCAAGACAGAAAAAACAAGAGAAACAGAGATTTGAAAGAAAGAATAGTGAGTCGTCCAGGTGTGGTGGCTCATTCCTGTAATCCCAGCACTCTGCGGGGCTGAGGTGGGTGGATCGATCACCTGAGGTCAGGAGTTTGAGACCAGCCTGGCCAACATGATGAAACCCCATCTCTAATAAAAATACCAAAAAAATAGCCAAGTGTGGTAGCAGGTGCCTGTAATCCCAGCTATTCAAGAGGCTGAAGCAGAAGAATCACTTGAACCTGGGAGGCGAAGGCTGTGGTGAGCCGAGATCGAGCCATTGCGCTCTGGCCTGGGCAAGAAGAGTGAAATTTCGTCTCAAAAAAAAAGACATGATAGTGAGTCTGTGAAATTTTAAAGTGAAGACATTGTGTAAAGAACAAAGCTCTGTTTGCTTTTTTTTTTTTTTTTTTTTTGAGACAGAGTCTCACTTTGTCGTCCAGGCTGGAGTGCGGTGGCATGATCTCAGCTCACTATAATCTCCGCCTCCCAGGTTCAAGAGATTCCCCTGCCTCAGCCTCCTGAGTAGCTGGGGAGTACAAGTGTGTACCACGCCCAGCTAATTTTTCGTATTTTAGTAAAGACAGGTTTCACCATGTTGGCTAGGATAGTCTCTATCTCCTGACCTCGTGATCTGCCCGCCTGGGGCCTCCCAAAGTGCTGGGATTACAGGCGTGAGCCACTGTGCCCAACCTCAGTTTGCTTAATTTTCATGGTTTGTGGAACCTAGATAAAGAGACTATCTTACTGTAAGAATAGTAGTCTAGTCATACTCACCAGTAATTTCACAGTTGTTATCTTCTAATTTCTTATTCCTAGAAATTAAGAAGTATTGTTATAATCTATACCCCAAACAATTACCAAAAAAAAAAAAAAACAAAACAATTACCAAGAATCTTTTAGTAACAGTTGAAAGAGTAGGGAAGATAAAAGACTTTCATAGAATGACTAGCAAAAAATTATAAAGACATTTTTTTAAAAAAGACTTAACTAATGCAGAAAATGATAAAGACATCCTTTTTAAAAAGACTCATCAACTGGGCGTGGTGGCTCACACCTGTAATCCCAGCACTTTGGGAGGCCAAGGTGGGCAGATCATGAGGTTAAGAGATCTAGACTGTCCTGGCTAACATGGTGAAACCCCCTCTCTACTAAAAATACAAAAATTAGCCAGGTGTGGTGGTACATGCCTGCAATCCCATAATCCCAGCTACTCAGGAGCCTGAGGCAGGAGAATCGCTTGAACCCAAGGAGGTGGAGGTTGCAGTGAGCCGAGATCGTGCCACTGCACTCCAGCCTGGGCGACAGAGCAAGACTTCATCTCAAAAAAAAAAAAAAAAAATTAGCCAGGTGTAATGGTATACACCTGTAGACCCAGCTATTCAGGAGGTTGAGGCAGGAGAATAACTTGAACCCATGAAGCGGAGTCTGCAGTGAGCTGAGATTGTGCCATTACACTCCAGCCTGTCTCAAAAAAAAAAAAAAAATAAGAAGAGGGAAAGAGGAAATAATGTTTACTTTTCAATGTATACACTTCCGTATGTTTTTATTTTAAAATATTTTTCTTCTAAGCTCTGTTGGACTTAATTCTGTACCTTTGCCGGGCGCAGTGGCTCAACCCTGTAATCCCAGCACTTTGGGAGGCCGAGGCGGGTGGATCGAGGTCAAGAGATCGAGACCATCCTGGTCAACATGGTGAAACCCCGTCTCTACTAAAAATATAAAAAAACTAGCTGGACATGGTGGCGTGTGCCTGTAATCCCAGCTACTCAGGAGGCTGAGGCAGGAGAATTGCCTGAACCCAGGAGGCGGAGGTTGCGGTGAGCCGAGATCGCGCCATTGCACTCCAGCCTGGGTAACGAGAGCGAAACTCCGTCTCCAAAAAAAAAAAGGTAATATAGCTTAGAGATTTCTCTATTTAGCATAAATTTTTTTTTTCTGGCTGCACAGTAGTCAATTATATGAAAAATGTACAATTTATTTATCCAGTCTCTTATTGGACTTTCAGGACCTTTCACAATGTTTACTATTATAAAAAACAATGTAGTGAATAACCTTATCTATTCATCATTTCAAACATTTAAAAGTATATTGGTGAGATAATTTTCAGACAAAAAACTGAATTCAAAGGACATGTGCATTTAAAATTTTGAATATTACCAGGTTGCTGTCTACAAATTACACTCCCACTAGCAAAGAGTGACTTTTTGCCTATTTCCTTAACTGATTAGATAAAAGTATCTTTTTTTTTTTGAGACAGAGTCTTGCTCTGCCACCCAGGTTGTAGTGCAGTGGCATGATCTCAGTTCACTGCAACCTCCACCTCCTGGGTTTAAGCGATTCTCATGCCTCAGCCTCCCAAGTAGCTGGGATTATAGGCACAGTGCCGCCATACTTGGCTAATTTTGTTTTTTTTTGAGATGGAGTCTCGCTCTGTCACCCAGGCTGGAGTGCAGTGGCGTGATCTCAACTCACGTCCACCTCTAGGGTTCAAGAAATTCTCCTGCCTCAGCCTCATGAGTAGTTGGGACTACAGGTGCCCGCCACCACAACCTGCTAATTTTTGCATTTTTAGTAGAGTCGGAGTTTCACCATGTTGGCCAGGATGGTCTCATTCTCCTGACCTCGTGATCCACCTGCCATGGCCTCCCAAAGTGCTGGGATTACAGGTGTGAGCCACCATGCCTGGCCAACTTTTTGTATTTTTTAAGTAGAGACAGGGTTTCACCATGTTGGTCAGGCTGGTCTCGAACTCCTGACCTCAGGTGATCCACCCGCCTTGGCCTCCCAAACTGCTTGGATTATAGGCATGAGTTACCACATCTGGCCAAAAATATCTCAATATAGTTAAATTTATACTTCTCTTATGATAAATAAAAAACATCTTTTCGTTTGTTAAAGAGCTACTGGTATTGGCTTTTCTATGTAATAATATTATAATAAGAAAAATGAATTTAATCAAAAACTAAAGACTTGCTATCTATTGTTTTATATTAGTTAATAAATATAAGGATTTATGTATTATATGGTTTCATCACTATTAAAACTATAAACTAGGCTGGGCACAGTGGCTCATGCCTGTAATTCCCCTACTTTAGGAGGCCGAGGCGGCGAGGTCAAGAGTTTGAAACCAGCAGGGCCAAATGGTGAAACCCCATCTCTACTAAAAATAGAAAAAATTAGCTGGGTGTAGTGGCGGGTGCCTGTAATCCCAGCTACTCCAGAGGCTAAGGCAGGAGAAGCACATGAACTTGGGAGGCGGAGGTTACAGTGAGCTGAGATGGTGCCACTGTACTCCAGCCGGGGCAACAGAGTTGAGAATTTGTCTGGAAAAACAAACAAAAAAACTATAAACTGTACAATGGCCATATTAATCAGATATAGTAGTATACTAGATTCTGCAAAGCACTTGTTTTCTGAATTAATTCTAGGTATTCCATAAAAGAAACACAAAAATATTAACATAACTTTTTAAATATAATTTGAATATTACTTACTGTATCGAGAGACTTTCTCCTGCTTCTGTTTCTAAAAATAAAATAAAAATTAAATTTGTCCAAGGACACACTGATAAAGCATTAGAAAAATTACTTAAGGACATTAAAAATGTTTTAAAAAATTATTAACTGCCAGGCACGGTGGCTCACACCTGTAATCCTAGCACTTTGGGTGACTTGAGGTCATGAGTTAGAGACCAGCTTGGCCAACATGGTGAAACCTCACCTCTACTAAAAATACAAAAATCAGTTGGGTGTAGTGGTGCATGCCTGTAATCCCAGGTACCAGGGAAGCTGAGGCAGGAGAATCAATTGAACCCAGGAGGCGAAGGTTGCAGTGAGCCAAGATCTTGCCATTGTACTCCAGCCTGGGGGACAAGAGAGCAACTCCGTCTCAAAAAAACAAAAGGGCTGGGTGCAGTGGCTGACATCTATAATCCCAGCCACACTTCAGGAGGATGAGGCAGGCAGATCATGAGGCCAAGAGATCGAGACCACCCTGGCCAACATGGTGAAACCCCATCTCTTCTAAAACTATAAAAATTAGCTGGGCATAGTGGCACATGCCTGTAGGCCCAGCTACTCAGGAGGCTGAGGCAGAAGAAATGCTTGAACCCGAGAGGTGGAGGTTGCAGTGGGCTGAGATCAAGCCACTGCACTCCAGCCTGGCGACAGAGAAAGACTCTGTCTCAGAAAAAAAAAAAAAAATTATTAACTGTCCACTCTACTCTATACCCCCAAGACTCAAGGTATACTTTTTTTGTTTTTGAGACAGGTTTGCGCCTTGTTGCCCAGGCTGTAGTGCAGTGGTGTAATCACTGCAGTCTCAATCTCCTGGGCTCAAGTGATCCTCTCACCTCAGCCCCCCAAGTAGCTGGGACCACAGGCATGTACCACCACACCTGGCTAATTTTTTATTTTTTGTAGAGATGGAGTTTCACCATGTTGTTCAGGTTGACCTTGAACTCCTGGGCTCAAGCGATCCTCCCACCTCAACCTCCCAAAGTGTTGGGATCACAGGTGTAAGCCACTATGCGTCGCCCATCATATACTTTTTAAGCAGTAAGATAGACAATAAGTTGTATCAGTTGCCTGGTTAGATAGCCACAGCAGAATTTTAAAGAAAGCAGACTTAGCAGGAATTACAGTAACACACTTACCTGCCATTTCTGACTTTCTCACTATTTCCATATGAGACTCTGTCTGGAATACCCTAGAAAAGAAAATAAAGCTTATTAAAAACCTGCAATTTGTAATCTTTTTTTTTTTTTGAGACGGAGTCTTGCTCTGTCAGTCAGGATGGAGTGCAGTGGCATGATTTCGGCTTACTGCAACCTCCACCTTCTAGGTTCAAGCAATTTTCCTGCTTCAGCCTCCCAAGTAGCTGGGATTACAGGTGCATGCAACCATGTCTGGCTAAGTTTTATATTTTTTTTAGTAAGATGGGGTTTCACCATGTTGGCCAGGCTGGTCTCGAACTCCTGATCTTGTGATCTGCCTGCATTACAGGCTTGAGCCACTGACTCAACACAGACTACAAATTAACACTTATTTATAGGTAAAGATAATACTTTGATTTTAGCTGCCTCTTTGCTATACCATATACTCTTAATATTTCAAATGCCAAAATTAGTTTACTACAATAGAATCTATCGTAGTTTTGTTTTGTCTCGCTTTGTTGCCCAGGTTAGATTGCAATGGTGCAATCACAGCTCACTGTAGCCTCAATCTCCCAGGCTAAACTGATCATCCCACCTCCACCTCCCAAATAGCCTCACCAACATACCTGGTTTATTTTTTTTATTTTTAGTAGAGACAAGGCTGTTATAATTACTTGTTTATTTTATTTATTTATTTTTTGAGACAGAGTCTTGCTCTGTCGCCAGGTGCCAGGCTGGAGTACAGTGGCAGGATATTGGCTCACTGCAACCTCTGCCTCCAGGGTTCAAGCAATTCTTCTGCCTCAGCCTCCCAAGTAGCTGGGACTCAGGCGCACCATGCCCAGCTAATTTTCGTGTTTTTAGTAGAGACAGGGTTTCACCATGTTGGCCAGGATGGTCTTGACCTCTTGACCTCGTGATTCACCTGCCTCGGTCTTCCAAAGTGCTGGGATTACAGGCGTGAGCCACCGCCCCAGCCTTATTTTTTATTTTTATTTTTTGAGACGGGGTCTCACTCTGTCACCTAGGCTGGAGTGCAATGGTGTGATCTCGGCTCACTGCAACCTCTGCCTCCCAGGATCAAGCGATTTTCTTGCCTCAGCCTCCTGAGTAGCTGGGATTACAGGTGCATGTCACCATGCCCAGCTAATTTTTCTATTTTTAGTAGAGATGGAGTTTCAACATCTTGGCCAGGCTGGTCTTGAACTCCTGACCTCGTAATCCACCAGCCTCAGCCTCCCAAAGTGCTGGGATTACAGGCATGAGCCACTGCGCCCGGCCCTATTTTTTAATTTTTAACTAAGATTCTGGGCCATTTGTTACTGCAGAGGTTATAGTTTTTAAATGAGCTCTGACTTAGTAATTATTTTTTCTCTTTCAATAACCTAAAACATTAATTTAATTCAACAAGTATTTATTAAACACTCACTATATACCTGGTACTATACCAGAGTTTGGGATACAAACACATGATCCTTGACTCAAGGGGCTTCCACTGTAAGTACAGAGGTGGAACAGTGATTATAAATATTATTTCACTGGCTTTTGTTATTAACAGTTAAGGTACAGTAGCATGGACTCCACAGGAAAGGATCCCTTTCCACTAGGATGAATAAGAATAAGCTTTGTTGAGCATTTGACACATGCCTTGAATTTGACCAGTTAATTCTAATTCTGCCAATATGAAGTATCACTCACTATAAAGAGGCTATTCTTTTTCCTTTTTTGAGACAGGGTCTCACTCTTGCCCAGGCTGGAGTGCAATGACACTATTATGGCTCACTGCAGCCTGGAACTCCTAAGCTGAAGCAATCCTGTGGCCTCAGCCTCCTCAATATCTGGAACTACAGGCGCAAAAAATTACCATGCCTGGCTAATTTTTATTTTTTTGGCAGAGATGGGATCTGCCAAAAATAATAACCACGCCTGGCCCCTAGTACAATGTTAAACAACAGTTGAATATCATTGTTTTGTTCCTGACTTTAGAGGCAATTTTTTCATTGTTTCTCTTTTAAACATAATACTGAATAACCTTTTAAATAACAACTAATGTTTAATCAAAACAATTAATCGAGTCAGTACCAATACATTTGGTTTGACACGTAAAATACTGGTAGTACCTGTAATATTTTAGTTACTTCTGCTTTCAACTTACTTTATAGTATCTGCAAAGCTGACTCGACGCGAGTTTTTCCTATTTCTCAAAGCATTGGATTCCTGAGGGCAGAGAATATATGCTATAAGTCTTAGAAAAATCACTGTGAATTACATCTCAGAGTATTATAGACAGAGATTAAGTCTTTTTTTTTTCTCATCTTGAGACAAGAGTTTTGTTCTGTCGCCCAGGCTGGAGTGCAAGAACTCAATCTCAGCTCAATGCAACCTCTGCTTCCCCGGTTCAAGCAATTCTCACGTCTCAACCTCCCAAGTAGCTGGGATTACAAGAGTACGCCACCATACCCAGCTAATTTTTTGTATTTTTAGTAGACACAAGGTTTCACCATGTGGGCCAGGCTGGTCTCTAACTGACCTCAAGTGATCCTCCACCTTGCCCTTCCAAAGTGAGAAACTGCCCCTGGCCAGAGATCAAGTCTTATTCTGAATTACTTCTTCACATGTTGTACTATGTGTCAGAATTTCCTTTTTTTCAAGGCTGAATATTTTACTTTATGTATATATGACCACATTTTGTTTATCCATTCATCCATCAATGGGCACTTGAGTTGCTTCCACCTTCTGGCTACTGTGATTAATGCTGCTTTGAACATGGGTGTAAAAATATCTCTTTGAAACCCTCCTTTCAATTCTTTTGGATATATATCCAGAAGTGGAATTGTTGGATCATATGGTACTTCTATTTCCAATTTTTGAGAATTGCCATACTGTTTTCAATAGCAGCTGTACCATTTTATATCTTCACCAACAGAGCACAAGCGTTCCTATTTCTCTGCATCCTCATCAACACTTGTTATTGTCTTTTATTTCTTTTTGAGAGGGAGTCTCACTCTGTCACCCAGGCTAGAGTGCACTGGTGTGATGTCAGGTCACTACAACCTCCGCTTCCTGGGTTCAAGCAATTCTCCTGCCTCAGCCTCCTAAGTAGCTAGGATTACAGGTGTGTACCACTGTGCCTGGCTAACTTTTGTATTTTTAGTAGAGACAGGGTTTCACCATGTTGGTCAGGCTTGTCTCAATCTCCTAACCTCATGATCCACCTGCCTAGGCATCCCCAAATGCTGGGATTACAGGTGTGAGTCACCGTGCCTGGCCATCTGTTTTTTATTTTAGCTATCCTAATGGGAAGTAGTGAGGTGGTATCTCATTGCGGTTTTGATTTGTATTTCCCTAATGGCCAATGATGTTGAGCATATTTTCATTAGAATATACTATTTTTACTTTCCTTCCCCACCTTCCTTAACAAGAGCAAGCATTTCTACTCACATAAACAGCACACACAAACGCCAAAAGACATTAAGGACGAACTTGCTTTTTTTTTTTTTTTTGATACAGAGTTTCACTGTTGCCCAGGCTGGAGTGCACTGGTATGTTCTTGGCTTACTGCAACTTCCGCCTCCCGGATTCAAGTGATTCTCTACCTCAGCCTCCCGATTAACTGTGATTACAGGCACCAGGCACCTGCCACCACACCCACCTAATTTTTTTGTGTTTTTAGTAGAGATGGGGTTTCACCATGTTAGCCAGGCTGGTCTTGAATTCCTGACCTCTTGATCTACCTGCCTTGGCCTCCCAAAGTGCTGGGATTATAGGCGTGAGCCACTGCGCCCGGCCTAAGCTTGCCGGGCTTAAGTAAAAGCATAAAATAATAGTAATAAACCAAAAGACAGCAACAAACAAAATCCACAGAGAATTATATTGGGTTAATTCTGAATACCTGACCATAAGTCTTATTATAATAAAGAATCAGGAATGTATCACCTCTGCATGAAAGCAGTGTACCTGGTTAAAGCCCCGAAAGACACTACAGGTAGTAGCCTTAAGCTTAACAAGACAATTATAATACTGACATGGGAAAAATACTGGGACTAACAGAGACTAATATATTTCTTACTAAAAAAAAGAAAACTGATCTTCTCATAGTTCATAAGTGTGATTATGGGTTTTTACATGCATGTGTGAGATGTGCTTTCCTCAAATTTTGTTACAATGTTGGCATATTATACATCTGGCATGAAAAAAGAAAGGCTCGGCACAGTGGCTCATGCCTGTAATACCCCTATTTCGGGAGGCGTAGGCAGGATCATTTGAGCCCAGAAGTTCAAAACCAGCCTGGTCAACATAGCAAGACCCTGTCTCTACTAAAAAAAACACTGTTTTAAAGGGCTGGGCACAGTGGCTCACACCTGTAATCCCAACACTTTCGAAGACCAAGGTGGGTGGATTGTTTGAGCCCAGGAGTTCAAGATCAGCATGGACAACATGGCAAAACCCCGTCTCTAAAAATATACAAAAATTAGTCAAGCATGGTGGTGCATTTCCGTAGTCCCAGCTACTCAGGAGGTTGAGGTGGGAGGATCTCTTGAGCCCAGGAGGAGGAGGTTGCAGTAAGCCATGATCACACCATTGCACTACAGTCTGGGCAACAGAGTGAGACCCCATTTCTAAATAAATAAATAAATAGCCAGGTATGGTGGCATTCGCCATTGTCCCAGCCACTCAGGAGGCTGATGGGGGGGAAACTGATTGAGCACAGGAATTCAAGGCTGCAGGGAGTTATGATCATGCCATTGCACTCCAACCTGGGTAACAGAGGGAGATACCATTTCTAGAAAAAAAAAAGAAAAATAATGAATGCCAATATATTTAAGTTTGGATTTTAACCTAAAAGCCATGGGATGCTTACACATTCAACTTGTAATCATTTATGATATTGCCTCTTCATATAGCTAATGAAGTTCCTGACTTATAAGTATCACTAAAAATAGTCATCTATCAAATGTTTGCACTAGAGACTTACCTGAACTGTTTCATTCCCACCTCTGAGGTCCTGAAGAGGACTTCTTGGGGGTTTCAAAATCTAGGTTAACAATTAGAATTATTAAAAAAAAAATCTGGCATATGCATTAGAATCCATTTATTTCAAGTTATAGATAGAAAGCTAAAATTTTCATAAAAACCTCTGAAACTCCTCATATTCATTCTGCTCAATATTATACTGTGTGGCAGATTTAAGTAATAGACATCTATTCCCTTCTACCTGCCCATCCTCCCCTATTATTTTACCCACTCTCATCCCATGTGGTCTGAGTGAACTCCACACCAACTCTAGGTTAAAACACACAGCCCTATCTAGAACAATCTGATATGCTTTTGTCAACGATGACTGCTTCAGGAATGAGGACTTGACCCACATCAAGATAATCGAGCTAACATGATTCAATTCTGAGTTGTTTCTGTCTGCGGAAAGATACTCACTATTCTTCATATGGGAGTTGAGCCTGGACGTAAGATAGCTAAACATACCACAGTAATTATGGGAAAAGAATCTATCTGCGTAAGATTACCCAGAGAAAGCACTAAGAGTAGAAAAAGACAAAGGAAATCCTAGTACTGTTGTCACTGTTGGAACTGCTGGTCAGTAAGTTGTGCCTAAAGCCATCCCTTCTTTGGATTTTTTACTATCATAACCCAATACATCTTGTGCTTAAAGCAGTTTGGGCTGGGCGCAGTGGCTCACACCTGTAATCCCAGCACTTTGGGAGGCTGAGGAGGGAGGATCACTTGAGGCCAGGAGTTTGAGAACAGCCTGGGCAACAGGTTGAAACCCTGTATCTTCTAAAAATACAAAAATTAGCCATGTGTGGTGGTGCATGCTTGTAATTCCAACTACTTGGGTGGCTGAAACATGAGAATCGCTTGAACCCAGGAGGTGGAGGTTACAGTGAGCCAAGACTGGGCCACTGCACTCCAGCCTGGGCAACAGAGTGAGACTCTGTCTCAAAAAACAAAAGCAGTTTAGGTTGGATTTAATCTCTTGCAACAGCTTTGTACAACAGGTTAAACATATATTTTAAACAGCTTTATTGAAGTATAACTTATATACCATAAAATTCATAAAATTACTAAAAAAAATTCATAAAGTATGAATTTTAGTATGTTTACAGAATTGTATGACCATGTTAAATATTTGAGTCTTTATCCAGAGAGCAACGGGAAGCCAGTTAGGGTAGGATGGTGAAGCCACAGTCAAAACTACCATGACATATAGTTATTATTAAATAAAAACTGATAATTATTAATTCAAGTAAGTCTTACTGAGGAATGCTGTCTTCTAACAGGTCTCTCTATATTGCCACTGAAAAAAAAAAAAACAACTTAAACATACGTTGATAAAAAACTGAATTCCCAAAGCCATCATCACAGCACCCCGTACATGCTTTCAAACTGGTCACCACTTTCACTTAGCACTCCAGCAAGCAAAATTTATATTACAAGACTTTAAATTCAGTTAGGAATTGAGTGTTTTAAAATACATAATATATACTACAAGACTATCTCCTGAATAATAATCATGTACAACATAATTTACCATATTTATAGAGGTATAATAATAAGATAAATGGGCTCTAGTTTTGGTTTTACTACTGTGATTTTTAGACCAGGTTTTGAAAATTCAAATGCCTATGAGGCTAATAAACGGATAATTTTTTAGGAGTAAGAAAAATAGGTAGTGTGAGATTATAATGACCTAGAGAATTCCTCTCTCACCCTAAGGTCAGTCATTGCTCTGCTGTGGTTAGTTGCTGCCAAACAAGAATAGGAGCCCAATGATGCCACGCTTGATTTTTCAAGAGAAGCTGAAAACCCAATTGTTGTACAAAATTTTAAGATTTTGAAATTTTGGCAACTAATTAAAAAACTAAAAAACGTGTATAGGCCAAAGCCAGCCACAGTTGCCCCCACATCTATAGTTCCAGCTATTCAGGAGGCTGTGGCAGGAGAATCACTTGAGCCCAGGAGTCCAAATCTAGCTTGGTCAAGACACAGTCTCTTAAAAAACAACGACCAAAAAATACTATGTGTGAGCCAACAACTTATGACTGCAAGCTGCAAACAAGCCAACAGATTGTAATGGCAATTTTAGACAAATCATTTTATCTTCCTAGTCCTCAATTTTCTCATTCTTACATAAAGAGATGGGAGGTAGTGTCTAAAATCCCTCTCAGATTTGACTCTAGATGAGATGATGAGGATGATCATGATTTTTGAGACAGACTCTTGATGCAGGAGGCAGAACTTGACTCCAAGGTAGGGCTAGGACACAGGACCAAATTGAGGACTAGCTAAACAGGTCTGGGGCAGAAGCACCTCCCCACAAGACATGCCCACCAGTGTGCCTTGTCAGTTTACCACTGCTACAGCAAAAACCCAGCAGTCACCTGCCCTTTCCATGGCAATAACCTGACAACCTGGAAGTTACCACCCTCATTCTAAAAATTTCTGCATAAAACACCCCTTAATTTGCATATAGTTAAAAGTGGGTGTAAATGAGTGCAGAACTGCCTCTGAGCACTGTGTATGGGGTAGCCCTGCTCTGTAAGGAGCTTTACCTGTGCTGCTGCTTTACACTAACACTTCAATAAAAGTACCATATAGCACCACTTGCTGGCCCATGAATTCTTTCCTGGGCAAAGCCAAACACCCTCCCTGGCTGGTAAAGCCAAAAGCCCTCCATTTTTAAAATTTTATTTTTTGGGGGGAGTGGGGGGGCAAAAAAATTTTTTTTAATTTTTTGTAGAAATGGGGTAGAGGTGTCTTACTATGTTGCCCAGGCTGGTCTCAAATTACTGAGCTTAAGATATCCTCCCACCTAAGCCTCTCAAAGTGCTGGGATTACAGGCGTAAACCATGGTGCTCAGAGTAGATGAGTTTATACAAAGATGGTAATGGCAAGGGGAGCTATGAGTCTGTAACATCTACCTCTTTTTTTTTTTTTTTTTTTTGAGAGGCAGTCTCTATTGCCAGACTGGAGTGCAGTGGCACGATCTTGGCTTACTGCAACTCCACCTCTCCGGTTCAAGGGATTCTCCTGCTTCAGCCTCCCTCATGCCACCACATGCAGCTAATTTTTGTATTTTTAGTAGAGACGGGGTTTCACCATGCTGACCAGGATGGACATCTACTTCTTTTTCTTGCAACGCAATGGAAAAAGATCTCAGAAGTTATGGACAGGTCTTACTAGTTAGAAAAATATCTTTCTCTGATAGAATATAACATTTTTAGCTACATTAAATGAACTTACTTTTCTTCACCAGCCTCTGAAGACACCCCATCCATTTTTGAAGAAAACTCTTCTGTAACAAATATACAATATAAGAAAAGGTGAGAAAAAAGGAAGAGCAACTACAATCTATGAAGAGATTAAGAGTACAGTTGGTCATGGTGAAACCCCATCTCTCTAAAAAAATATAAAAATTAGCTGGTCGTGGTGGCACACGCCTGTAGTCCCAGCTACTCGGGGGCTGAGGCAGGAAAATTGCTTGAACCCGGGAGGCAGAGGTTGCAGTAAGCTGAGATCGTGCCACTGCACTTCAGCCTGGCACCTGGCGCCTGACGACAGAACAAGACTGTCTCAAAAAAAAAAAAGAATACAGTTGGTGACTTCAGAGTTACCTTCTGAGAGAAGACCAAAAAATGGGAAGGAAAAAACTATACTTATGAGGATATAAAACATGATTCATTTTAAGGAGTTTAAATCACTATTATAATTAATATTGCTGGAAAATTTTCATACTCAAAATAAAATCAGTGACTAACTTTGATCAGGATAATAGGGACTTTACTGGTTCAAATAAAAATTTGGCCTAGCTTCTAAGAGTTTGCGTATTATCTAATAATTCACTCCCAAAAAGGACGGCAATTAGGTCAGTGGTCCCCAGCCTTTCCTGAACCAGGGACTGGTTTTGTGGAAGACTATTTTTTCACAGACCATGAGGGTGTGGTGGGGGATGGTTTCAGGATGAAACTGTTCCACCTCAGGTCATCAGGCATTAGACTCTCATAGGAGCCCACAAACTAGATCTTTTGCGTGCGCAGTTCACAATTGGGTTTGTGTTCCTGTGAGAATCTAATGCGACTGCTATCCAACAGAGGCTGGAGCTCAGGCGCTAATGCTTGCCTGCTGCTGACCTACTGCTGTGCCACCCAGTCAGTGGACCTATACTGTTCTGAGGCCCGGGGGGCTGGGGACATCTGAATTAGATATCTAAATACAGTGCATTTGCATCATATGTATATTTATCTGAGGAAAAGTCAACTTTAAGTACTCAGCAAAAAAAAAAAAATTATTATTATTTTTTTGAGACAGAGTCTCCTCTGTTACCCAGGCTGTAGTGCAATGACACGATCTTGGCTCACTGCAACCTCCACCTCCTGGATTCACGCAATTCTCCTGCCTCAGCCTCCTGAGTAGCAGGGATTACAGATGCACACCACCATGCCTAGCTAGTTTTTGTATTTTCAGTAGAGAAGAGGTTTCACCTTGTTGTCCAGGCTGGTCTGGAACTGCTAACCTCAGGTGATCCACCCACCTCAGCCTCCCAAAGTGCTGAGATTACAGGGGTGAGCCACCGCACCTGGCCAAAAAATTTGAGACATGAAAATAACATATTATTAGTGCAGCTAATAATGCTTTAAATTTCACTCAGTGAGTATTTGCCCTGGAAAGAATATGAACTAAGAGGCATAATGAGAAGTTTCCTCAACTGGTCTCAGTTTCTGCCTCCCTATAACTATATTTGATTTTCACTTTATGTATTAACTTTAGAACCTCATCCTTGGGTAAGAAAAAAATGCAACTGCAAATTTCAAAAAAGAATAGCTAGACATTTTGACTCAACCATATTAGCATTTCCGCCACAACACTAAATTAATACAATACACATAAACAGGATCAATGTTCTTGGTTTTAGCAATAAGTAAACAGGTAACTGGAAGATGTTTTAGGTGCTTCGGTCATATATAACAAAGGCCAAATTAGGGAACAGTACTTCACAGTGAACCTGAAATTCCAACTGAAATAAAAGCCTGCTTATTTTCTAGTATCTCTGAATTCAATCAACTACTAAGGTAAGTAAGATGATGTTCTAGGATCTAATCTCTGATCCTCTCCTCTTGTTCTTGATCATTTTCTCAGTATGCTTTTCCACTCTTCTGGTTTTACTTACCTCCTGTTCACAAATAACAGTTTTAATTTTAGCTTTCATGTACCAGTATAAGGAGCTGATTACATAAGACTGGCTAAGTTGCTGTTTTTAAATTAGCATCTCCGGCCGGATGTGGTGGCTCACGCCAGCAATCCCAGCACTGTGGGAGGCAAAGGCAGGCAGATCACGAGGTCAAAAGACGGAGACCATCCTGGCCAACACGGTGAAACCCTGTCTGTACTAAAAAATATATAAAAATTAGCTGAGCGTGGTGGCGTGTGCCTGTAGTCCCAGCTACTTGGGAGACTGAGGCAAGAGAATCACTTGAACCTGGGAAGTGGAGGTTACAGTGAGCTGATATCGTGCCACCACACTCCAGCCAGCCTAGCATCAGAGCTGAGACTTCATCTAAAAAAAAAAAAAAATTAGCAGCTCTTGCACCCTAATTTCCTCCTTCCCCAAAGCAACCACTTTTACTATTAGCTGACTATTTTTCCATTTACCTTGTTAACAGATAACTCATTTATATTGCTAGTTTTCAATTTTTACAGTTTTATTGAATATAATTTATTTATTTTTGAGACAGGGTCTTACTCTGTCGCTGAGGCTGGAATGCAGGGGCACCATCTCAGTTCACTGTAACCTCTGCCTCTCTGGCTCCAATGATTCTTGTGCCTCAGCCCCACTAGTAGTTGGGACCACAGTCATGTGCCAATATGCCTGGGTAATTTCTGTAGAGACGGGTTTCACTATGATGCCCAGGCTGGTCTCAAACTCCTGGACTCAAGGGATCTACCTGCCTCTGCCTCCCAAAGTGCTGGTGCTGGGATTATAAGCACAAGTCACTAAGCCAGCTATTTTTCTACTTTTAGCTATTAAAATGTTTGTCTTCCCACCATGGGAGATAAAAATTTAACTCCCTTTCCTGCAACCACCTTGGAGACATACATACACACACATACCAAGGAAAGATTACATGCCATTCTTAAAAATATAAAAATCCCAAATAAATATCAGCAAAAAGAATCCAGCAATTTGTAAAAAAGGATAATATATCACGGTCAAGTGGTTTTATTTCAGAAATGCAAAATTGGTTGGGCGGATATGGGGCAGTGTGACTGCAGTGCCAGTTACTTGGGAGGCTGAGGCAGAAGGATCTCTGGAACCCAGGAGTTCAGGCTGTGTGCACTATCATGGCAACTGTGAACAGCTACTGTCCTCCAGCCTTGGCAACATAGTGAGACCCCGTCTCTTTAAAAAAAGAAAAAAGGCCAGGTGTGGTGGCTCACACCTGTAATCCCAGGACTTTGGGAGGCTGAGGTGGGCGTATCACCTCAGGTCAGGAGTTCAAGACCAGCCTATCCAACATGGAGAAATGCCGTCTCTACCCGGGCATGGTGGCTCATGCCTGTAATCCCAGCTACTAGGGAGGCTGAGGCAGGAATATCGCTTGAACCTGGGAGGTAGAGGTTGTGGTGAGCCGAGATTGAGCCAGGCTAGGCCACAAGAGCGAAACTCTTTTTAAAAAAAAAAAAAAAAAAAGATCCAAAAAGGAATGCACAATTTGTTTAATATCAGAAAATCAACCTTGCAATTTACCACACTAACAGATTAAAAGTTAAAAATGGGGCCGGGCATGGTGGCTCACACCTGTAATCCCAGCACTTTGGGAGGCTAAGGCGGGTAATTGCCTGAGGTTGGGAGTTCAAGACCAGCCTGATAAACATGGAGGAACCCCATCTCTACTAAAAATACAGAATTAGCCATGTGGGATGGTAAATGCCTGTAATCCCAGCTACTCCGGAGGCTGAGGCAGGAGAATCACTTGAATCCAGGAGGCAAAGGCTGCAGTGAGCCAAGACTGCACCATTGCACTCCAGCCTGGGCAACAAGAGCAAAACTCTGCCCCGCCCCCCCCAAAAAAAGATAAAAATGATGTGATCATCTCAACAGATGAAGAAAAAAGTTTAGGGCTGGGTGTGGTGGCTTACACCTGTAATCCTTGCACTTTGGGCAGCCAAGGCAGGCTGATCACTTGAGCTCAGGAGTTCAGGAGGGGCCTGGACAAAATGGCAAAACCCCATCTCTACAAAAAGCACAAAAATTAGCCAAACATGGTGGCTCCCACATGTAGTCCCAGCTACCCCGGAGGCTGAGGTGGGAGGATTGCTTGAGGCTGGAAGGCAGAGGCTGCAGCCAGCAGAGAGAGCACACCACCGGATGTCAGCCTGGGCAACAGAGAGACTCTGGGGGAAGGTGGAGGGGATGCTTAATGAATTTTAACATCCTTACCTGTTTTAAAAAAAATACTTTCTTTTCAAAGCTATAGTTGTGCTATAGTTGTTTTTTTTTGAGACGGAGTCTCACTCTTGTTGTCCAGGCTGGAGTGCAGTGGTGCGATCTCGGCTCACTGCAATCCCCACCTCCCGGGTTAAAGCAATTCTCCCACCTCAGCCTCTCAAGCAGCTGAGATTACAGGCACCCACCACTACACGCAGCTAATTTTTGCATTTCATTAGAGACGGAGTTTCACCATGTTGGTCAGGCTGGTCTCAAACTCCTGACCTCAGGTGATCTGCCTGCTTCGCCCTTTCAAAATGCTGGGATTATAGGCGTCAGCCACTACACCTGGCAAAAAAAAAAAATTCTTTTAATGGGCCAGGCATGGTGGCTCATGCCTGTAATCCCAGCACTGTGGGAAGTCAAGGCGGGAGGACTACTTGACTCCAGGAGTTTGAGAGTGGCCAGATAGTGAGACCTTGTCTCTACTAAAAATAAAAATAATTAACCACGCGTGGTAGCACGCACCTGTAGTTCCAGCTACTTGGGAGGGTGAGGCAGAAGAAGAGCTTAAGCCTGGGAGGTAGATGCTGTAGTGACCCATGATCATGCCACTGTATTCCAGTCTGGGCCACAGAGCTATACCTTGTCTTGAAAACAAATTTTTAAAAAATACTTTAAAAAAATATAGCAAACTACAAATAGAAGGTAAATTAACAGTAGCTATTCAAAAAACTAATAGCAAAGACCAACTTAATAGCTAAACTTTGAAAACTTTCCCTCTAAGACCCAAAAAATATGACACCCACTTACGTCTATTCAATTTCTCATGTAATTTTATTTCCAATAAATGCTCCCAATATCCCCAATCCACTCATTTCTTTTTTCTGTTGGGGGTCAGGGAGACAGGATCTTGCTTTGTTGTCCAGGCTGAAGTGCAGTAGTGTGACCTCGGCTTACTGCAGGCTCAAAGTCCTGGGCTCAAGTAATCCTCTTGCCCCTGCCTCCTGAGGAGCTGGGGTTACAGGAATCTGCCACCATGCTTGGCTAAATTTTTTTTTTTCTTTTTTTGTAGAGTTCGAGTCTACTAGGTTGCCCAGGCTTGTGATGAACTCCTGGGCTCAAGTGATCCTCCCAGCTCTGCCTCCCAAAGTGCTGGGATTACAAGTATAAACCAGCAGGCCTCGCCTCAATAAACATTTGCTGAATGAGCAATTAAGAAACAATTATTTGGGCCTGGCGCGGTGGCTCACCCTTATAATCCCAGCACTTTGGGAGGCTGAGGCACGTGGATCACGAGGTCAAGAGATCGAGACCATCCTGGTCAACAAGATGAACACCCGTCTCTACTAAAAATACAAAAATTAGCAGGGCATGGTGGTGTGCGCCTGTAGTCCCAGCTACTCGGGAGGCTGAGGCAGGAGAATTGCTTAAACCCAGAAGGCGGAGGTTGCGGTGAGCCGAGATCGTGCCATTGCACTCCAGTCTGGGTAACAACAGCGAAAACTCCATCTCAAAAAAAAAAAAAAAGAAACAATTATTTGACCACCAACTTGCATTTTTCTCCTTTGAAAATATTTTCAAATTCAGTGTACATGTTCAAAATTCACAGATAAAAATATTAACTACTATCAACTCAAGATCACTTAAAGATCTTTGCTGTTTAAAATAGTCATTAAAAGCATAATTCCTGTCCAATCTGTAGACCAATCAGTTGGCACTTAACTGATGAAATTCAGAGGTTACTGAAGTCCCCCTTTTTAAATATTCTATAACTGTTAAGTTCTATTTTTCTTTTCTTTTTTTTTGAGACAAGGTCTTGCTCTGTCACCAAGGCTGGAGTACAGCGGCACAATTTCGGCTCACTACAGCCTCTGCCTCCCGGGTTCCAGCATTTCTCCTGCCTCAGCCTCCCATGTAGCTGGGATTACAGGCGCACGCCACTACACTTGGCTAATTTTTGTACTTTTAGTAGAGACAGGGTTTCATCATGTTGGCCAGGCTGATCTCGAACTCCTGACCTCAGGTGATCTGCCCACCTCAGCCTCCCAAAGTGCTGGGATTATAGGTGTGAGCCACCATGCCCAGCCAAAGTTACACTTTCAACACAAATAGGAGACTCCAGACTCATAGATTAAGCTTCATTTATAAAACACTGTTATGGCCAAACTCTTAGTTATTGACACATTAAGTTACTGGTTCCAGGGACCAGGTGCAGTGGCTCACGCCTGTAATCTCAGCACTTTGGGAGGCTGAGGCTGGCGGATCATTTGAGGCCAGGAGTTCAGGATCAGCCCGGGCAACATGGCAAAACCTCTGTCTTTACTAAAAATACAAAAAATGTAGCTGGGTGTAGTAGCATGCTCCTGTAATCCCACCTACTTGCAGCTACTTGGGAAGCTGAGACAGAATACCTTGAACCCAGAAGGCAGAGGTTGCAGTGAGTTGAGATGGCACCACTGTACTCCAGCCTGGACAACAGGGTAAGTGAGACTTCATCTCAAAAAAAAAAAAAAAAAAAGTTACTGGTTCCAAACTGTGTACCTGGCACCCAAGGGTGCTGCAGCATACTCACAGTGATGTCCTAGGATATTTAAAAATTGAGAGATGCACAGCAATTCTGAACATCTGTCAGGTACTGTATAAACTACTATCTCAAAATAGTACCATGTGCATTACATTAGTTTTAATAACATCACTGTAAAGATAAATTGTTCACAGTTGCTGTGATAAAAAACAAGTACTTTTATTAAAGTGGTACAGGAAATGAGGGTGGCAGGGTATAAACTGATTCCAAAGTTTGGGAAGTTGTGCAGTGTCCAACAGGCATATGTATCCAATGAGTAAGTGTGATTATTTAAGAATAAAATTTTCAGGCCGGGCGCAGTGGCTCACACCTGTAATCCCAGCACTTTGGGAGGCCGAGGTGGGTGGATCACGAGGTCGAGAGATCGAGACCATCCTAGTCAACAAGGTGAAACACCGTCTGTACTAAAAATACAAAAATTAGCTGGGCACGGTGGTGCGTGCCTGTAATCCCAGCTACTCAGGAGGCTGAGGCAGGAGAATTGCTTGAACCCAGAAGAGGTTGCGGTGAGCCGAGACCGTGCCATTGCACTCTCCAGTCTGGATAACAACAGCGAAACTCCATCTCAAAAAAAAAAGGAATAAAATTTTCAAAATCATCTTTTCCTTCAATTTATGTATTTTTTAAAATGGCTACTAAGTTTGTGACATATGTACTTAATGTTTGGACCCAACAACCACTGTACTCAATAAATAGAACTGTTAGACATCTTTTTTTATCTAAGGGTGCCATGCATCAAGAAAGTTTGAGAACCACTAATCTAAATAATCTTCAAACAAGCAGAGAATATGTGACAAAAACCATGTAGGCTGCAAAGCCTGAAATATTTACTCTCTGGCTCTTTCCCCACTCCTGCATTTATGAAACCAATATCTAGAGTTAGTATTTTTCAGGACTATAGGAGGATAAGAGTGAAATGATAGCTGCATAATATTCCATGGTGTATATGTGCCACATTTTTCCAGTGTCGTTTGTAGGGACATGGATGAATCTGGAGAACATCATCCTCAGCAAACTGACACAAGAACAGAAAATGAAACACCGCATATTCTCACTCATAGGCAGGTGATGAAAAATGAGAACACAAGGACACAGAAAGGGGAGTACTAAACACTGGGGTCTACTGGGGGGCAAAGGGGAGGGCCAGTGGGAGGGGGAGGTGGGGAGGGATAGCCTGGGGAGAAATGCCAAATGTGGGTGAAGGGGAAAAGGAAAGCAAAGCACACTTCCATGTGTGTACCTATGCAACTGTCTTGCATGCTCTGCTCATGTACCCCAAAACCTAAAATCCAATAAAAAATTAAAAAAAAAAGAGTGAAATGATAGACTATAGACCTGTGCTAATACAGTAGTTATTTATATTTAAATTAATTAAAATAAAATAAAATAGGCCGGGGGTTGTGGCTCATGCTTGTAATCCCAGCACTTTGGAAGGCAGAGACGAGTGAATCACCTGAAGTCGGGAGTTCAAGACCAGCCTCACCAACATGGTGAAATCCCATCTCTATTAAAAAATAATAGTAATAAATTAAAATTTAAAATTCAGTTCTCCGATCACAAAAATCACATTTCAGGTGCTCCATAGTCCCATGTGGCTAATGGATACCATGTTGGAGTGCAGATATAACATTACTATTTTCACAGGAAGTCCTACTGGACAGCACTGCTTTACTGTCAATATCTAGAGTATTTTTTACAGTCTATTGTTTAACATTGAACACATCCATAATTCTACCATTCTAAACATTTTAATTTAATTTACATGTATTTATCATCTTGTAAACATTTCCAGCCATTCAAAGTCAGAATTATACTGCATTGAACCTAACTGTTAATTACCAAAATTTTATCATATATTAACTCCTATCTGTAAATCATCTCTCCAAGGTCCACCTCAAATATGGACTTCTCCAAGAATCTATCTCCAAAAGCATCAAATAAGCTCTCAAATAAGCTTTCCCTTTTCTGTGCTCCCACACCACTTTAGAATGTCCTATTATCTTTTACGTTCTGTCTTGTATTATAGTTATTTGTGTATACTAGTTATTTTCCTTTCTGGACTGTAAACCCCTCTAGGTTTGGGACTCTGCATCATATGTCCCCAGCCCTATCACAAGATAACGAACGCAATAAATATCTACGGAATTCAACGTTAGTGAAAACTTCAATCTTCATATCCCGACTGGAAGTAAGAGTCTTCTTTGGTCTTCATCCACATCCTTCATCTATTAATGCCTATTAAACCTATCTGTAAAATTACAATTAGCAATATTTTTCTCCCCTCAAACTCTAGTAAACATCAAGAATAGGGGCTTAAATCCTGAGGAATAATGAACAGAGGAGGATTTTTAAAAACTAATGTGCGGCGTACTAATATTTACTTTATTTGTTAATACTATTATATCTGCAGGAAATGAAAAATCTGTTACGTGCTGCCGGCACTCTGAGCAGACATCTTAAACCACAAAAGGCTGAAAATTTAAAAATCACTCATTGGTGTCATTTCATTTAGAGCCAAGAAAAGCTTAAGTGACAAATACAAACAGCCGAGAGGTCCCTAGGGAAGAGAGGCAGGGGTGCAAGAAGAGTTCGCGAGCCCTAACAGAAGACAGCAGGGCAGAGCGGAAGGGGAGCCGAGAGAGCGACGGACACGAAACCGGAGCCGGGTGGCCGGAGGGGCTCAGGTGCGGGCGGAGAAGTGTTAGGGAAGAGGGAGGCGGCAGGACGTGCAGGCCGAAGAGAGGAGAAAGCCGAAGGCCCGGCCGGGGACAGAGGGGTCTACTCGCCCGGCGCTCACAGAGGCCGCCAGGCTGAAGGAGCGTCCCCCACCTCCCACCGCCGGAACTTCTGGGGGTCCAGACAAAACCCGAAGCCTTCCCAGGAGCCCAGAACTAAAGGGTCACTCTCCTTACCTGCCGCGGCTCACACGCCCGATAAATCTTGCGCAGACTTGTCTGGGGTCTACACGCTTCTCAGAGCGGAAAGTCACCGCCGCCTCTCGCCGTCAGCCCACAACGCCCAGCTTGCCTTAGTGAAGTATTCAAATCTAACCGCCCAGGTGTTGCGCACGCGCAAAGCAGCTCTACGCTTCGGCTCCGCCCCTTAGGGGCCAGATGAACCCCATTTCTAAGACTGCTTAAATCAAACTAGTTTCCCAGCCTCCGTGCCAATTTCATTTGCTTCAAGTTTATCTCATTTTCGACCGAATTTCCTTTGCCTCTCCCCAGTGCAGACCTTCCTTACAATCATGGGAGCCGCCATCTTCTTTCGATTGCTTGCTACGGTTTTTGAACCTTGGCTTCCGTACAAAATGGCGGTTTCCATAACATTGCGTCACATCCCCTTGATACTACTCCCTATAGCAATCAGGAAACAGCAGGTTTTCGGGACGAGGTGGCCGAGTGGTTAAGGCGATGGACTGCTAATCCATTGTGCTCTGCACGCGTGGGTTCGAATCCCATCCTCGTCGGTGTGTGAGTTTTTTTTTTTTTTTTTTCCTGCTTATAATCAATGTAAATTAGCAGAGTGGAAAATGTTAAATATTCCACTCATTATTTATTGCCCAATTAATCTGACATCAATCTCAGGTCTGAAATGCTTGAAATACAGTATTTGGAACACTGACATCACAGATAAGAAAAAAGGGAGGGAAAGAGACATTTGGGGAATCAGAAAATGTACTGGATTTAATTTCTTTTTATATGAAGTTAACAGCAGTGCATAGAATTCCACAATTATTACCATCCCATATGTTTCAATGCTGCTCTGTTCCAACTTTAACCTAGCTCCTCACTGAGGAGTTTCAATTATTGTGGACTGTTACTCTGGGGTGTTTAATACCTGTCCTGATTACGAAATACCAGGTTTCACTTCAAAAGCTACCGTGAGACACTTTACCTAGTATTTTTAATCTACAGGCACCACATGTTTTATGATCATGAAAGATATATTTATCACTCCATTTTACAGATGAGGAGACTAAAACATTAGTTTGCCCAAGGTTATACAGCTTCTAAATTGCAGAAGGACAGTGTAATCCAAATCTATTGAATACTGGCTGAATCACCCACCTATACTGTGCTGTAGATTAATAATCAGTATTTATCAGGCCGGGCACCATGGCTCATGCCTGTAATCCCAACACTTTGGGAGGCTGAGGCAGGTGGATCATGAGGTCAAGAGATCAAGACCATCCTGGCCAACATGATGAAACCCCTTCTCTACTAAAAAATACAAAAATTAGCTGGGCGCGGTGGTGTGCGCCTGTAGTCCCAGCTACTAGGGAGGCCGAGGCAGGAGAATTGCTTGAACCCAGGAGGCGGAGATTGCAGTGCGCCGGGATTGCGCCACTGTACTCCAGCCTGGCGCCTGGCAACAGAGCAAGACTCTGCCTCAAAAAAAAAAAAAGAAAACAAAAGAAAAATCAGTATTTATCAATCTCTTGCAGTAATGGTTTATAGATTCTCTTCTCCATGAGGCTGTCTGCATTACATCATGCTCCACAACCCAGCACTTGACAGGTGCTTCAGCAAGGTTTGGGCACTGTGTGGAAGGCAGTGGCCCTTTCTCTGCTGGCTCCAGTGGCTCCTTCCAGTTATAGATCCAAATCCGTTGGGAATGTTGATACCTCCTTGGGCTCAGGACATTGAGATACCCATCCTTAGCCTTGCTCACCCTGCTACTAGGAAGGGTTTCTGCCAGTTCCACACATTCCAAACGATCCATGGATAGAATTCAGTGGGTTATTTGGTTCAGAAAAAAAATTTCATCCTTATTTCCATACTCTCTAATTGAAAGCACATTCTTCAAAAATGGTAAGCAACTAACTACAGTAATATTAGCCTTATCCATTATTTTGTCACCAATAGAAATAACAGATTTCTTTTTTCAGATGGAGTCTTGCTTTGTTACCCAGGCTGGAATGCAGTGGCGTGATCTGGGCTCACTACAACCTCTGACTCCGGGGTTCAGGCGATTCTCCTGCCTCAGCCTCCCAAATACCTGGGATTACAGGCATGTGCCACCATGTCCAGCTAATTTTTGTATTTTTAGTAGAGATGGCGTTTCTCAGTGTTGATCAGGCTGGTCTTGAACTCCTGACCTCAGATGGTTTGCCCACCTTGGCCTCCCAAAGAGCCGAGATTACAGACAGGAGCCACTGTACCTGGTGAGAAATTTCTAAAATTCCCTGGAGACACAGATTTTACCTTTCCTTGAACTAGGACTTTTTCTCTTTTCTCAACAGTAGATACTGTCTCTGCTCCTCTCCCTGCAACATACCCCTGACCCACCCCTCTTCTTTCCCATCAGGTCACTGCCTGGCTGGCTCCTGCTCCACCTTCAGATCTCAACTTAGAGGTCACCCCCATCAACAAGCCCTGTGGCCTACAGCTCCCTCTTGCATTTCCCTCAATTAGCCCCTGTGCTCTTTCTTGCTTCTGCACCTTTGTAACCCTCCTAGATGCTTCTGTAGCCTGCTGGGCTTTTCCCAGCACTTGCCAGGGAAGTACTAGGAATGCATTTGTAAATACATTTTTATTTATGTTGCCCATTAGTGCTGCAGCTTCTCTAGAGAATCCACGACTGCTCTGCAGGAATTGGGTATGAAACAAAACAAAACAAAGACTCCACGACCGCATCATTTCCTGAGGTTTGCCAGCTTCTTGGAGTGATGACTATAGGTCTATCAATGTCTGTGCAGAGTACTGGTGGATTTTTTTTTTTTTTTTTAGTCAGAGTCTTGTTCTGTCACCCAGGCTAGAGTGCAATGGCATGATCTCGGATCACCGCAACCTCCACCTCCTGGGTTCAAATGATTCTCCTGCCTCAGCCTCCCAAGTAGCTGGGACTACAGGCGCATGCCACCACACTCGGCTAATGTTTTGTATTATTAGCAAAGATAGGGTTTCACTGTGCTAGCCAGGATGGTCTCGATCTCCTGACCTCGTGATCCACCCGCCTTGGCCTCCCAAGGTGCTGGGATTACAGGAGTGAGCCACCACGCCCCGCCAGACTTTTTTTTTTTTTTTTTTTAAATGAGGCAGTATCTTGTTCTGTCACCCAGGCTGGAGTGCAGTGGCACTATCTCCAATC